AATAGATTTGGACCTGGAATGTCTTTTTAGCAGTGTTTGGTGATGCTGTTCTATGAGTACAGGAAATTGTCCTGTTCAGGGTTTGAAGCAGCGATGAAGTCTGACGCTACGACAGTGAGTTCTGTTGCTAAAGAGCTCCTATACGGTTATATAAATGGTTATGTATCCAGCCGGCTGTCCCTCTAATTTCCTGACCTGGCCCTGTTGTCTTTGTTGGGGGCCTCATACAATAGGTTCACCTGCAGACTCAGTCGCTCCTGCTCTCCTCACCAAGAGGCTCTGCATGTTTAATGCTCATTCCTTTTTTCACTCTCCTTTAATCGCATGTGTGTTCATCATTTGACTAACTGCACAATTCCCAGTGACGTGGCATCCTAAAATGTTACTGAAAAGGGTTCGGACAGCTACATAAATACCTTTTCAGTTGAAACAAATATTGAAATACCAGCTGGGGCGGTTCAGTGTAAATAAGGTCTTTGATTTGTTTTAGACCACCAAAAACACCATTTGCTGTAGCGTGTATCCAAAAATGGAACCTTGATACTTAGAACTACTTTCTGTATGTTCTAAATATAATGGCATTGGCAGCCAGCATTTGACAGAGTACATGAATTTCATGTCATTATTATTTTGGCCCAAAACAATCCATTTACAGTATTTTGATAATCAAATCAAATGAATCAAATATGCTTGAAATGGTACTCAGCAGAGTCACTTTACTGGTGTTGTCATTGCATTATAGATGATGAAGAAGACTTAATAAGGTATGCATAAATCAAAAGTTGCTGCTTAGATGAATGCCTGCCAACTAAGCATAATGTTTATTTATTTCTATATTTGAAAAGATACATTTTCAACACCTTGTATTCCTGGATGAATTGTCTGATGTGTTATTGTCCTATTTCATGAATATAACAACAACATACAAAAGCCAGTAGTTACATTTAAAGTCAAAGTCCAGTGAAACACTTTGGGGCTTTTCATTTGAAACCGATTCAGGAAGTTTTGAGTTTTAATTATTTTTCTCAGAAATATCTCAAAAGATCAGTCAAACCCGACTGATCTTTTGATGACCCAACATGTACAGACTGTTGATGGTACAAGCACCTCCCTTCGCACTCATCAATACAGACCTATTTTGAAGCGGTCTTTGGAGAGTTGTGTAATTCGTTTGGACGGACCACCCTCGCTCATAAAGGGGCCAATTACAGCAGCATCATGCCGTCTTCAATTAGATCTGCATGGCCCGCTCAGAGGCTGCCCCCGTCTATTGTGCTGCAGATTACACACAGGCAGAGCGGCCATGCTGCCCACTGCCAGACCGGGCCTCCGGCCTCTCTTCTTCTACCTGCACGCACGCACACACACATACTCAAACTGGACATTTAGCACCACAACTTTGATTTAAACACTGAACACTGCTTACTCCGGGTACAGTTCTTAATTTTGTAGTGAAGTACTCCACCAGTTTAGAGCTGGTGTGTGTGAATGATTAGACCAGGACCTCCAAACATGAAAAGTGTTGTTCTGATCAGAGCCATTCATGCGTTGATCTGGTGGTAACTGACCCTCTGACCATTAAGCTATAGTAGCATTGAGGAGATCATTAAAACAACCTCAAAGAACCTTTTGACTTTCCTCTGCCTCTGTTAGAGCTCCGTTGGAGTTGGAGCAAGGATGCTGTGAGGCTAATGGCTGTGAAAGAATCGCACTAAGGAGTCATAAGTAGCAACGGTGACCACAGAAGTAGAGGTCATGTAATTAGGACGGGTCCTAATGATGGTGAAGCCCCAGGAGAGAGCCCTAAACATCCTGACCAATTGGCTGTCAGCTGATGAGCAGTGGTCTTACCCTGCTGGATACAGTCTGAGCCCACCACTAAACTGTGGGGAGGGAAAGTACCCATGTTGGCCCAGTCTGGGAAAACCGTCCGTTTCCAAAAGATTCCCACTAAAAGCGTCTTCCTAATCCTTGCTAGGACATGGTCTTCATATATCAAATTAATCTATTTTGTTCTTGTGCCTTCTAAGCCTGGGACACCATGTAGAGAAAATGTGCGAAACTTTTGAGGGTTGAGTGCTTCGGCGTGGTGGAGGGACATGGTGAGTGGAGGACCAAGGCCAAGTAAGGGAGACACCCCCCATGTGTGACGACGTTGGCAAAGCCCAGTACATCCAAGCAGGTTGTATTTATTAGTATTGATTCATTACAGGAATCATACAGGCTGTTTGTATCCAGTGCCTGGGGGCTGGTGGACACGCCAGACAGCCACGTTAACATGTAGAAGACCTATCAAATTATGTCTCCTTTAATAAACTTAATAAACATAGGACGTGTTCCGCATGACACGACGATCTTTGTTCTGGCATAAGCAGACATGCATGCAAACATTTCTAATAGAAATTATAAAAATTACATTTTTGAAAACGGACAAACTGTGGTCTGTAAGACCAGAGGGGGCGGAGCTTCAGGGCTCTGGCACAGACTGCAGTCCACCTTTGCTGCTGGATATACCATTGGTACAAATGACAGCTTTAAAGCTTGATATGCTAACGAATGACACTTATAGCCTTTGTGTTTACAGGCGTCGGAATGGTTGAAGCCAGGCTGTGCTCCCTGTTATATACCCATGCTCATTTTCCTCAGTAACTAAGCAGAATGTGAATATCTCATTCAATAAGTAATCAGAGGATTGGGATTTAGTTGAGCAGTTTTCAGGCATACTTTCATTGAGGCATCAGAATAATAGGAATTCTAACATGTGAAATTTCACCCTCTCTTCAGCTACCAGAATTTTTGTTCATAAAGTTCCCAATTGTCAATTTAAAAGCATTAATTACCATGATTAATTATGAAAACGTGTGGTTGATCAGGATACCTCCAGATATCATAGTCTGAATGATGCTAAGAGAAGGAGGAGGCATCACTAACGGTCTTGGTTTGAAAGAATGCTACACATGAATCTCCGACCCGGTTTGAGATAAAGACCGACCCTTCACCACCAAGGGCATGGCGTTGCTCAAGACTTCCATTAATGACAAGGTCACAGTGTGTTGTGAATGGCAGGCTGCCCTCTCTTGGGTGCAGAGGAATTCTAGCTGAAGCCATGGAAAAGCAAAGAGTTACTCAGGCAGTTCCTGTGATCGTATTCAGCTTCAGGTATCATTTTCCGTAGCTCTCAGGGCTGTCCTGTCATTCCCCGTAAGGCCTTTCCCTGGGGATCAGCCTTGTGGCTGCATTCCAGAGCCGTCCTCTTAAATTAGGCTTTCTAGAGGCTGCAGGAGTTCTGATGCTCTCTTCATTGGAAGGGTATGCACACAATCAGTCCTTCTTGACCAGGGTTGAAATCCTGCCAGCAGCTCCAAAACCTCTCCACTTTTAGCCTGCTTTTATTTGAGGAAGAGTACGTTTTTAAAATCCAGCAGGTCTGCAGTAAATACTCTCTTAATGGTTGCCAGCAGTGGACTGTGAACAGCACACTCCTTTAGGCCACTCATGATAACCAATAATCACCTATTTGTTGGAACCATTGGAAATATTTACAAAGGGCTATATCGCCGCACCTCTGGAAATGATGCTTTATCATTTTATGTGTTTAAAGAAAAAAAGCCCTTGTCATAGCTTTCCATTAATGTTTTTTTTGTAACAAACAGGGTTGGCAACTCTGGTTGGCAAACCAGCAGGCTCAGATTGCTTCTATTTAGGATGGTGACCTCCTTCACAGCACTGTAAAAAGTGGGGAAAAGGTTATGGATACATTTTTTATGTATTATGCAGTTAAGTTATATGTATGATGCGCCTAACAGACTCGTCATTTTCTTGCATAAATCTCATCTGAAGAAGTCTGAGAAGGGAGTTCAGAACAGCCTCTTTCTCCTTGAGAGAAAAATTCTAAAAGCGCTGACTGAGTTCTGTCATGAGCGACGTTATCACTGACACATATTTCCCCTTTTTAAGCAGAAAGGTTGCACATTTTACCTTTGACAGCGTGGGGGAAGTGGAAAGGTTCCCCGTGGCGGACAATTGTTGTGGCATCTTCTTGTGTTTTGCTAGCACGGGAATAGCAGGTTAGCTACTATTTGCGTTTTCGGCTTGGCTCCCGCAGAGGACGTGACAACTGAGCAGTTTGGCATGAAAGCCTCGCTCTCCAGTTGTGGAATATTTCAATAAAACTAGTTCGGGGGAAGAGAATAATTTGTTTCGGGGTTTTTAATAAAAACACAGTCTTGATGAATGATCAAAGTTGTTCAAGTTTATTGCTTGCAAGTAAGAGGTTTAAATGGTCACATCTGGACCGGCGGACCAGAGGTGGCCCGCGGGCCCCGAGTTTGAGACCCCTGATATAGGGAGATGGCAGGGCTGAAACTTGCGGACCGGGTGAGATATGAAACTAGGTTGCGTTGATACAAACTTGTATTGATACATACTGAAGCAGGTTATGACCCCTACAAAGCAGGTGACACACCTCGAGTGAAGATGGGGTAACGGTTTCCTTTTTCCGAGCCTTTGTGTGAAAGCAAGTTGACTCGCTCTCTTCAGACACCGCTGCAAATGGAAACTTCACACCTTTCTGCTTTTTACATGTTAAACTTCAATACAGACACTTGCCACTCTTTTAGCAAAAGACTATGTTATAACATATTTTACCATTACACTCCATACACAATGTCTTTTCTCCAAGTGTGACAATTGATCCATAGCCACTGACGTTGGAGGTGGAGGGCACAACCTTGTTTCTGTACCGTCTTTTACACTTTACTCACTTTTCAGAACACACTTTTGGGGTTAGCTGCGAACATTTTTTAGAAAGACTTGGACAATTTAATGGAGCCTGGGAACAAAAATTGCTGGTCACACCTATATATCTTCATCTGTCATTAGTAAGTTGTGTGGTTCAGGCCAGACATGGCATTTCCTTTTAATGAGCGTGTGTACCATCCAGTGTTCCAAATGAACTCGTCCGAAGTGGCACTAACACAATCCATCTCTTGTCTCCACAGATGCAGCAGCTTTTCTATGAGAACTATGAACCAAATAAGAAGGGCTACATCAGAGACCTCCACAACAGCAAGATCCACCGGGCCATCACCCTCCACCCCAACAAGAACCCTCCTTACCAGTATCGCCTACACAGCTATATGCTCAGCCGCAAGATCGCAGACCTGCGCCACCGAACCATTCAGCTCCACCGGGAGATTGTTCAGATGGGCCGCTACGGGGCGAATGAGCCCAGCCGAGAGGACCTCCAGCTTGGCATGCCGCCTTCATTCATGCGCTTCCACCCACAGCAGAGAGAGGAGGTCCTGGAGTGGGAGTTCCTCACAGGAAAGTACCTGTTTTCATCCTCTGATGGTCAGCCGCCCCGCCGCGGGATGGATTCATCCCAAAGGCAAGCCCTGGATGACATCATCATGCAAGTCATGGAGATGATCAACGCCAATGCCAAGACACGAGGGCGGGTCATTGACTTCAAAGAGATCCAGTATGGCTACCGGAGAGTCAATCCCCTATACGGGGCAGAGTATGTGCTCGATCTGCTGCTGCTGTACAAGAAGCACAAAGGGAAGACCATGACAGTTCCTGTGAGGAGGCATGCCTACCTGCAGCAGACCTTCAGCCAGATCCAGTTCAGAGAGGAGGGGGAGATGGATGCCGGAGCTCTGGCCAGCCATATCAACAAGGATTCAGACTCTCTCTCATTTCTGTCCAATTCCCTGAAGATGCTGGTGCCCTTCAAGCTGGCCACCTCTGGCCAGGACCAGAGGGAACCGAAAGAGAAGAAAGTCAACATCTTGGTGCCCCTGTCGGGACGCTATGACATCTTTGTGCGCTTCATGGCTAACTATGAACGAGTTTGTCTGATCCCAAACCAGAACGTCAAGCTGCTGATCCTACTCTTCAGCACAGACAACAACACAGAGCGAGTCAAACAGGTGGAGCTGATGAGGGAGTATCACATGAAGTATCCTCGGGCCGAGATGGAGATAAAGCCTGTCACGGGCTCCTTCTCCAGGGCTCTTGCTTTGGAAGTGGGTTCCTTGCACTTCTCCAATGATTCGCTGCTCTTCTACTGTGATGTGGATCTGCTCTTCACCAGTGACTTCCTCAAGCGATGTCGGACCAATACAGCACTGGGGGAGCAAACCTACTTCCCCATCATCTTCAGCCAGTATGATCCCAAGGTGGTGTACGCTGGGAAGGTCCCCAGCAACAACCACTACGTCTTCACCTCTAAGACAGGTCTGTGGAGGAACTACGGCTTTGGGATTGTCTGTGTCTACAAAGGGGACTTGGTCCGGGCTGGAGGCTTTGATACCTCCATACAAGGGTGGGGATTGGAGGATGTGGACCTTTTTAATAAATTTGTCCAGTCAGGGATTAAGTTGTTCAGAAGCACAGACACAGGGATAGTGCATGTTCACCACCCCGTCATATGTGACCCAAACCTGGAGGCAAAGCAATACAAGATGTGTGTGGGCTCCAAGGCCTCTTCGCACGGCTCCACCCAGCAGCTGGCCGAGCTCTGGCTGGAGAAGAACGACGACGGCTTCAGGAGACTTGCCAGCAATAACGGCTCAGTTAGGACAGCGTAAGAAAAGCTGGGCTGCTGCCTGCGTGGTGACTTCACTACCTAATTTATTTTTTACTGAGACATGGATTTTGAAAATGTCTTTTTTTTTTTCTTTTTTTTTTTAAAGGAAACATGGCGATGAACAACTCCTAGAGAACATCTGAGTTCTCGTACAGGATTGCAAAATTGATAAATGATCAAAGGGCCCGATGCCCCTCTAGCCCACAACACGTTATTTCAGGCAGGTGTTCCTAATGAAGTACACCGTCATTGTCCATGAATATTCCATATGTCTTGTGTGCAGAAAAAAGCGACTGGTGTCCACGTACTGGACCACCGGCGCTCCAAAAAGAACTCAACTGACTCACTGATTGTGAATGTTTACAAAAGACTGATTGTCAAAAGCAATTCATCAATGATCACAGCTGTCTCAGCGGCCGTGGTTCCGCTTGTCTTTTCAATGTGACACGTCATCCTGTCACACCAGGACTCATTAAATGTCCAGTGTTTACACTATGCGATCAGATGTGGCTCTCATTGGGATCCGATCAGGCCGACCGCATACCGAGGTGGTCTGGTTCATAGAGTTCAGATGCCAGTGAGTGTGGACAGCATGTGGACACAATCCAGACCATGGTCTCCCTCATCTCCCCAACTCTTGAGTTTCTCCACCCCGGAGCCCAAAGGAAGAGAAGGGCGGCAGACCAGCTGAGACCGGCTGCTTGAGTCCTGTTAACTTACTGCTGATTTTGCTGCTTTCACATAACAGAACAACAAGGGAGAGTTCTTCTTAACAGCGTGAACAATTCATGGGAAAGTGTATTCATCACTGAGTTAGTGGAGGTCTGTTGGCATCTATTCTTCCGTAATACAATCCTCCTAATCCCCCAGGGAGGAGGAGAAAGCAGCCTGAAGCCTAACAGGGCTTTTATTGTGAAGAATTTACAGGAAATGAAATTATCTTTTATTTGTTGTTCTACATCCGCCGCTTTGACCTCCAATGCATCCGGTCACACTCACCAGTGTGGGTACGCGGACACACAGTTCAAATTATGCATACGGTGACAAAAGTCCCATTGAGAAGACAAATGTAACCACAGCCAATGGTTTCAGAGAGCCATTACACCATTTCATTTCCAATAGTTTCCTTCCTTTAACATTTAGGATTTTGGTAATATGACACAACACTGTTATTGTTTCTCCTGGATTTTAAAATTTTATTTCTGTGAACCCAACTGCTGGATTTTCTATCTGCAATTGATCTTTTGCTGTCTTATTTATTGAATTTGCAGGCTCCACTTGTTCTCTCTCACCGAGTTGTGTAGATGAAACGATTGTATAACTCTTGTCAGTTGTGGGATGGCGCTTTTTTATGTTGCTTTTCTTAAACTCATTATCACCAAAGAGTTTTGCACAGTCGTGTGTGTGTGTGTGTGTGCGCGCGCGTGCGTGCATGTGTGTGTGTGTGTGTGTGTGTGTCTGTCACAACCATGACACTGACTGTATAATGGAGAGTAAACAGAAAAGCTGCATCCTGGGCCTTTGTGATGGGGAAGTGGGGACTATCCTTTCATCCTTTCATCCTCTCATCCTTTCATTCCAGTGGGTGGAAATGGGAGCAGCTCTCTGGTCAGCCGGCTGAAGGCCGACATCCCACATGGTGTCTCTTCCTATAAATGACTTTCTTTTATGTTGACAAAGTGTTGTGGCTGGTCCCGGCCCACAGAAGCTCCCGTGCTGATATCATGTGACGCTCACATGGTCTGGTCCTGTTACAGGTGTGAGGACAGAACATTTCCCAGTGACAGGCCTGTCGCGCATGGGCAGGTACTGTACGTTGCAGCACGCCATTGGGTTGATGCTCCTCTGTCAGCACGAATGGCTGATTTTAAGACTGTCCGTGTTTTTTATTTTCTTGTATTTCTTTTGTATTTTTTGTTCTTTCAACTCTGTCCAACTGGGCAAGGTTTTCTATTTAAGAAGAATTAAAATGGGAGAAAAGTATGTAGGTGTGCGGCTCTTTGTCTTTATTATTCACACTTCTTAGGATGACGGAATCAACAATGAAAAATGCGCCGGCTATAAAGACTAATAGCCAATGATGACATCATATCAACGATAAATCTCATTATGTACACGCTGAAGGGAAATGGTAAGCAGTCCAGTGATCTCTGGTTAATACTCCGCGCCCATCTACACACCGCTCCAACCATGAAGACAACCAGTATGGTGGCCATTTTTAGTTTTTAACCAAACCCACACACAGATTTGTCGACTTCAGCACGCAGTATAAAACCAACAGACAGATCTTTCCATCATCTACAGCAGAGCGCTACATGAAGTGACCACATATATCCAATCATTTGGGTCACAGTGCATTATGGGAGGATGTAGTCCGCAAACCAATCACAATGTTCTCATTCTGCTGAATGCACTCGTCTATCATCTGTGTGTGTGACGCACGCACACACACGGGTATGCCTTGCATGTTTTTTTAAAGACACACATGTAGACAGCGGGTCCTCTGTGACACTTCCCCTCCTGCAGCGGGCATGCTGTGTGAGGCCCGCAGGACCTTTCAACTTCTGGGCCCCAGTATACAGGGACCAGGTCTACTCCACATCTTTGCTTTTTATTATATTTGGAATGCTTTAGAAACCGGAGGTCTTAAAGCTCGTATTTTACAGGATACCCGATTCATTCCATCGTATTTAATGCTTGACCTGTGTCTTTACAAGGCTAGTACAAAGGCGATGAAGTGGTCCATAACTATGACATATGAGTTGACAGTTCCTCTCTGGCCTGGGCGGTTGCTTTATGGCCGGTAACAGTCTTCTGGATCCATCGGCGGACACTTGGAGCTCACATGACTCGTGTTCATTCCATTATTTTCCTCTTCTAATAAATGGTCAACATGACCTCCTGCGTGTGTGATTCCGGGTCATTCTGGGAAGCAGGAAAGTGTAGAAGGAGTCAATGTGAGCACATCACCCCCCCCCCCCCCTTCGAGGCCTTTATGTGGGACAACTGCTTCTGTGTCATCGGCGAGAGAGACTGTGGCAGCCGGCATCTCGTCACAAAGGCAGGTAGTATTAATGTCTGTGCCATTGCGTTGCCTTTTTCCTGTTCCGCTACTAAGTATCTATGTCAGACCCCTTTCGAGGGTTTCTAATGAAAGTTACCCGTTTCTCAGTTTGTAAAAATTGTCTGTGTTTTGGTTTTAAAGTGACTGATGTTTGGTTTGGAGATGACCTTTAAGCTCGCTTCAATTCAATTCAATTCATTTTATTTTGTATAGCCCATAATCGCAAATTACAAATTTGCCTCAGAGGGCTTTACAGTCTGTACACATACAACATCCTCTGCCCCGAAACCCACCATCGGCACAGGAAACTCCCCAAAAAATGAAAAAAACTCTTACAAGAGGGAAAAAAGGGAAGAAACCTTAGGGAGAACGTCAGAGGAGGATCCCACTCCCGGGATGGACAGACTACAATGGATGCCATGTGTACAGAATGAACAATGTATAATCATGCAATTATATGACAGAAATTATTCAAGTAATTGTGAGTAGTAAGCCAGGCGCACAGCAGGACCACTGCAGGGGCAACCACCATCAGATAGAACCATCAGATAGAACCACCATCACATAGAACCACCATCCACAGAAGCCTGTGGGGTGGGAGAGCACAGAGACTTTAGGAGAGGGTAATGTCGGTTTATGAGTACAGTAATATAATTAATATCTAAAATAATGATGATGATGATGGCAGCAGCAGGCGTCAGCATGGCCACGGCAGGTGTCAGGACCAGGGTCCCGAAGGAACCACAATCTACGGAGACCTGATAGGGGAGAAAGCACAAAAAAAAAACTCCCGGAAAGAAGCCGAATTAGTCATGTGCATTAATAAAACTTGAATTATGGTAGAACGAGAGCGTGAGAGAGGAGCTCGGTGTGTCCTAAGAATTCCCCCGGCAGTCTAAGCCTATAGCAGCTTAACTAAGGGCTGGTCCGGACTAACCTGAGCCAGCCCTAACTATAGGCAGAATCAAAGAGGAACGTTTTAAGTTTTACTTTAAAAGAGCTGACCGAATCTGCCCCCCGGACTGAAAGTGGAGCCTGGTTCCACAAAAGAGGAGCTTGATAACTGAAGGCCTGGCCCCCAGCCTACTTTTTAAAACCATAGGAACAACAAGTAACCCAGCATCTATGGAGCGCAGTTGCCTTGTAGGGCAATAAGGTGTTACAAGCTCTTGAAGATACAACGGTGCCTCACCAGCAAGTGCCTTGTAGGTGAGGAGAAGTACCTTAAAATCTATTCTTGATTTAACTTGTTAATACACGTGCTGCAGCATTCTGAATCAACTGGAGAGGCTTAAGAGATTTACAAGAGCAGCCTGATAACAAAGAATTACAGTAGTCCAGTCTGGAAGTGACAAACGCATGAACTAATTTTTCTGCATCACTTTGAGACAGGAAGTTCCTGATTTTTGATATGTTACGTAGATGAAAATAGGCAGTCCTTGAAGTCTTCTTTATATGCGAGTTGAAGGCCATATCCTGGTCGAAGAGAACTCCCAGATTCCTGACGGTGCTGCTGGGTACCAGAGCAATTCCATCCATAAAAACTGTATCACGTGACAGCTGGCTTCGAAGGCGTTCTGGGCCTATCAGGATAACTTCTGTTTTTTCTGAGTTTAGCATCAGGACGTTGCCGGTCATCCAAGTTTTGATGTCTCCAAGACATTCTTGAAGTCTAACTAGCTGGTCCGTCTCTTCTGGCTTGATCGACAGATACAGTTGAGTATCGTCTGCATAACAAAGGAAGTTTATGCGGTGTTTCCTGATAAGATCGCCCAAAGGAAGCATATAGAGGGTAAATAAAATCGGTCCAAGTACAGAACCTTGTGGGACTCCGTGACCAACATTGGTGGTCTTTGAGGATTCACCGTTTACAAGCACAAACTGGGATCGATCCGATAAGTAGGATTTAAACCAGCTGAGTGCAGTTCCTTTGATACCAATTAAATGTTCTAGTCTCTGCAACAGGATACAATGGTCTATGGTATCAAATGCGGCACTGAGGTCCAGCAAGACAAGAAAAGAGATGAGTCCTTGGTCCGATGCAAGTAGAAGATCATTCGTAATTTTCACCAGTGCAGTGCTCGCTTAGGACCACAGCACTGCTGGTGCCTTACACACCAACGGAGTCTTGCTGGGCTTTTCATACGCGGATGGTCGCTGTGTTTTTGGCATGTTCACATGCTAACATCAACACGTAGTAAAACAATATTGACATAACTCAAGGGCTCCATGGTAAACAGGTAGATGAATCATATTGTTGATATTGTATCCCACACTGGTCTGAACTGAACCGTACAGTATTTCCAGGTAGCGATGAGCTCCCAGAAGCGTTAAGATGGGACTCTAAAGATGAGGACAAAGAACACACAGCGTGTTTGAGTACACGTTTTGTATAACCTTAAAGTTGAGTCGTACATTTAGGCATCAATAATAAGGGATTTAATATAATGAATGTTGAAATGTGACCTATAGTTCTTCCCCCTTACTGTGAGATTTACAGTTGCATGGCTTTACAATGAAACCGCTTATCGGGAAGAGTTGTGAATAATTGAATTGAATTCATTTTATTTTGTATAGCCCATAATCGCAAATTACAAATTTGCCTCAGAGGGCTTTACAGTCTGTACACATATGACATCCTCTGTCCCGAAACCCACCATCGGCACAGGAAAAACTCCCCAAAAAATGAATAAAACCCTTCCAAGAGGGAAAAAAGGGAAGAAACTTTAGTGAGAACGTCAGAGGAGGATCCCACTCCCGGGATGGACAGACTACAATGATGCCATGTGAACAGAATGAACAATGAATAATACATGCAATTATATGACAGAAATGATTCAAGTAATTGTGAGTAGTAAGCCAGGCGCACAGCAGGACCACTGCAGGGGCAACCACCATCACATAGAACCATCAGATAGAACCACCATCAGATAGAACCACCATCAAATAGAACATCAGACAGAACCACCATCAGACAGAACCACCATCAGACAGAACCACCATCAGACAGAACCACCATCAGGTAGAACCACCATCACATAGAACCACCATCACATAGAACATCAGACAGAACCACCATCAGACAGAACCACCATCAGATAGAACCACCATCAGATAGAACCACCATCTGACAGAACCACCATCCACAGAAGCCTGTGGGGAGGGAGAGCACAAAGAGGAGAGGGTAATGTTGGTTTATGATTACAGTAATATGATTAATATTTAAAATGATAATGATGAGGATGGCAGCAGCAGATGTCAGCAAGGCCACGGCATGATGTTCATTTACTAAATGATGGTTCACTTAAAGTCAAACAAACCATTAAGCAGGGGATGCTTTAGGCCGGGGCTACCTTGTGACTGACAGATCTACCTGTCTAACTAAACCAATGGGTGATGACGATGGGTGATCTCCTGTCATTGGAGCCACACAGACCTGGCATGAAGCAATCTCCATTTTCAGTACACCATTGGCAGCTGGCCAATAGAGGGTAATGGGGCGGCGCCCCTCCTTGAAAAGAAAAAAGAAATAATATTAAATTATTAAAAAAAAAAATTGAAATATGGAATGTACCCAGTAATATTAAATAAATGTTTGATGATATGATATCTACGCAAAAGATTTCCCTGCACGTCCCTGCCTATTGTGTTTTAGCTGAGTGTTTTAGCTGAGCTAGGGGCGGGTCTAAGAAGCATTTCAGCCAATTGCTGACTAAATAAAAAAAATTAAGACATAAGATTTAGCCAATCAGCATCCTTACATAAACTCAGCCTGGGACTTTGGTTTTGCTTTTTGCCGCAGATATTTAAAAACACAGGATCGAAGTGTGCACGTGCAACATGGCTTTTTTACATCTTATGCGTGACTGCTGCATTTGTCATTGTAACGTTCTAAAAAATTGGATGACACACATATTAAATATATAAATCCCAAGAATAAACTGTTAAAAACGAATTTAAGTTTTATTAAATACATTTGATTTGAATTTGCCACATCCTCCGAACTCTGTCTCTGCCTTCAGACATTGAACTACAGGCATTGGTGGGGAACAGAAGAGGCTTTGGGGGGGGGGGGGCATTTTATAATCAAGCAGCCTCTGAACCCATTAGTCACACTGTAGTCTGACTGTAGTCTGACGCCCACAACCTAGTAACAGCTAAAGGCCTCCACGGGACTATGCGTCGGACGGAGCTGCCTACAAAGTACACAGCAGCTACAAAGGAGGACAAACGCGGCACAACCCTGAGACCACCATGCTGCTCCCACCCGGAGCACTGAGGTCCTTCGCTGAGGACGTCTCTCCTCAACCGGGACTAAGTGGTTCTGCCGCCTAACCCTAACGTTTCTTAAAAATAGTGGTTAGTGTCAATAAATCAATAGTTTTGTGGGTTTTGAGGGTCATTCGGACAAATGTGGGGGGAGGGGAAGAATGGAGGGTCCAGGTGAAGCTGATTGAAAGATTGCAAAGTGTGCAAAGCAGTCATTACAGGTCTAACATATTAAACACATTCTGGTTTGTTAAGCATTTTTTGTCTATTGCAATCCGATGTGTTCCTTCATAAATTTGATGTCTCCCAGTGCCCCAAACCACCGACTGGAGGGCTGCGTTGGTCGGCGATGAGCAGCCTCAGGAGGACGCAGCCGACCGAGTGAGACGCAGCCTGTATGCTGTATCAATGAAATAAATGTTCAGACCCTTTAGAATCCTTCAGAGCTCTGTGCACGGCAGCCACGTTCTTCCGTCGAACTGGTCAAATTTTTCTATAATCTACAGTGCAGTGTAATTTGGACCAATTTATCTGGTGTTACATTTTATTGTTTATGCAATGACTCTTAACGGAGTTATTCAGCGGCTGCAGTGCTGTTGCCATGACACTCACTGGGACACAACATGAACGTCAGCAGGGTCAGTCCACATAAAGCCCCCTCCCTCAGGCTTCCCCATGCACAGGGACATATAGACCTGCAGTGTGGTCCTTACATTCCACTTTACCCGGTTGTTCCAAAGTATAAACTCAGTTCTTTAGTTTATTCCCCAGAATGAAAATAAAGGAAGTACTTAACCTGATTGCCTGTCCCATATTGTATAGTAGTAGTGGTATTAGAAAAAAAAACGTAGATGCTCAGTTATGATCAAATGCACAATACGAATAGGTTGTTATGGTAACCATGCATTTGCCAACTTGTGTGGGTCCAGAACAAGACACAACAACAAATAACCATTTACCTCTTCTGACTATGTAGCAAACTAATGACATCCATGTGTTACATCGTCCACATCAGTCTTTTCTTCTTCTTTGTGCATTTTATTAAATTGTTTCCTATAACTATTTTCTCCTGCAGTCGTCAACACGCCATCCGGGAAATGTTTGCAGTAAAATATGAGCGAGCACTTGTGTTCGGCTTCCTGTTTGGCTTGGTGAAGGACCCCACGGAGAGACAGCTGATCAGATAGGACCTGTCTGCTGTCTACGCCTCACATGCTGGGCTCCTCGGGTTTGCAGCTTTATCAGCATCCTGGGTGCCTGATTTCCTTTTTTAGGAAAATGGATCTCAGTGGGGGTCAGTGGTCAAGAAGTTGCGATTGTAAAGAGGTCCTTCTCAATCTGTCTATCAGGTCTATTTGTGCCGCTGAATCACTCAGCAGTGATTTACAGGTTTACTCACCACGGTCGGCTGGAGGGGTTTGAACTATGTAGATTCATCAGGCTCAAATGAAAACAGGCCAGTGGATGATCTCACAGCACTTCTGTTGTGTTGATTACAAATCAGAATCTCACAATTTGGTCATTTATTTAGTTTGGAATGAATATTTTCTTTAGACATGATGTTAAAAAAATGTTCTGAGCAGTTATTTTTGTATCCAATGTGATTAAGGAGACACTGATGAGCTGTGAAAGAAGGCTGTATGTAGAACAGGACATCGGTAGTCTTTGATTTCTAATGGCTTCTTAGTTGCATTCAACGTGACACAAACCCGCTGGTGGTTCAGTCTCTTTAACCTGTCAATCAACAAGCAGATCACAGTTTGAAAGAAGATCAAACAAAGATGTTTAGACTTATCACTTTTAAAAATGTCCCTTTGGAGTTCCAGATAGGACACATCTAACTAAACTAAACATGTAGTAGTTGTCATCTATGCCCACCCTGACATTGTATTCTATGCTGCTACATCGATTCTTCCTCTGCAGCAGAACGTTTGTTCTGCTTATTTGCTGGTCGAGAAGAGAAAACAATAATACTGCATTTTGCTTGACTGGTTGCATTTTTTTTTAAAGAGATCAAACGTTAATCACAAAACAAACTAAAATGCATTCACGTGACGTGTGACATAAAGAGAAGTAGAGGACAGCAGGGACACCGAGGGTGTCTAACCTAAAGAAGTGAAGAGAAACAGTGAGAGCAGCTCTTCAGAGGTCATCAGGACTCTCTACTGCCCTCTTCTGTCTGGTGGTTGAGAAGAAAGGACAACTGTGAACCATTGATCCATGTGTAAAGATGACATTAATCCTGCCTTTGTCTCAAATCAAGGGGACCAGATAAGAGCCTAAGCAGAGCTGCTTCAGCGTGAGGAGCGGAGCGTCTGTGTGGCTCTTCTGTCCTGAGCAAAGAGCACCTGAGGACTGAGCCAGATGTATTTATGTCAGTCCAACAGAGGGCCAAGTCTTTTTATATGACAAGAGCATCATTCATGATATTTGTAGTGCACCATGTTGGCTGCTGGGTAAACTCCCGGCACCACACTGTCATCTTGTTTATAGGGGGCCCAGGGCCACGAGAGGTCAGGAGCTGTCAGGTATTTCCAATCTTCGTAACGTTTATTTCATGCAGTCCGTCAGTCCTCAGCTAATCTTGCATATGACTGGACCCATCCTTTATTTTGCTATTTACTCACAAACCCAATGTATTTGCAGTGATTTACACTGTTTGACTGCCTTGAGTCCTCACTACTCTTAAACGGGGAGAAAGTCAACAACTGCTTCAGTTTGGACAGTTTGTGTACACCATAGATTACAAATTATTCTTGACTTGATTTGCACACCTTGGTAAGGCAACGGCATGAATATATATCCCTATAGAAACCGAAGGTCTTAAAACTGACTTCAATAAAGCGGGAACCAGGGCCTTGTTGTGTGAGATAACAGCTGACCAAACCAAACAAACAGCGGGACGGACCGTTTCTGTTCAAGGGAAGCTATTAAAGGAAGCACTTAATTCAGACGGCACTGGCTGAGAATGCTGAACCAATCTCTAGTTCAATACAGCATGACGTTCATTGGTCCATTTAGAGTGAAACACACATCTTAGAGCGTGCTACCTTGTGATTGACAGTTCTCTACTACTACTATGAGTATATGTTAGATTCTTCCAATTTAAGAATGAGGTGAATGAGCGTTGAATGATTGGTAGACTAGAAAAGAGAAATACAAGTATAGTACTTTTACCATTTACGGCCACTTCTGGTCTTTGGTAAACTCAAGTCTTCGGGTTGACAAACACATTTGGTGGTTTAGTTTGCAGGACTAATGTCACCAGGGAGGCTCAAATGAGAGACATATTGTTTTATAGGAAGAATTCTGTGCTTTTTACAATTGTGTATATCCCACCCTTGCCTGCAGCGCCAATTTCTTTAATTGTCTGTTCAAGCCCCTTAACTGCAGTGAAAGACTAAGCAGGCCTGCCTTTGTGTTAACATGCAGCGCAACAGATCACATTACCGACTCATTTATAAATTTGTAAATTGAACATGTCATTTTTCTTGTTGTCTATGGTATCGTTGTCTTACTGTCCAATGTTATGTTCCAACCGCCGTGTCAAATTCCTTGTATGTCTGACATATTTTGGCAATAAATGTTCCGGATTTAAGCTTTGCCAAAGCCCCGAGCAGGAAGCAGCTTCTTATGTTTCTCGTACCAAGCATGAGCCTTGTTAGAAGCCTTCTTCCCTCATCTGTCATCATGACTTCATCACAGGAGGCGACCAAAGAGCGTGCATGAATGCTGAAGGACAGATTCAGGAGTCCAGGACTTCCATGCGTCTCAAAAAGAGTAGTCATGAAGTCATGAAACAGTCATCATAAGAACTTGATTGATTACCATTTTATGCAGGGATTATGTACACCGTAAATCTTATAACAATATAGCTTTATTGTACATTCAGATAAACAAACAACCTCTGCCTTAATAGGCTGTACAATACAGATTTTTTACTGGCCACATTACAAATGCAAAAGTACCAATTTAAGACAACACACATACTCTTCTGTGGCTCACTTTTGGTACACCGACGTTTCCCGGCCGTACCTTGTGGCTGACAGTGTTGTAATCAAGGTCCTGCAAGGTGCTGCCTGTGGTTGGTTTAGAATCCACTGCTCAAAGTTATGTTAATTCTTAATTTTCATATTCCTGGAGGCACAGGCCGAGGAGGTAGAGCAGCAGCTATTTCTGACTCTAGCCTTTTAATAACCCTTAAACCTAAACTACATTTAACTAATTTGCAAACTGGTTGTCAGTATTTCGCTCCCAACATGGAAGAATATACCGCCGGTTCTTTTTGTTGCAGTGACGGTCCTTATTCAGGATTCATTGCCGATGACGACAGCCTCGGTACTGCGTTTATCTCATTGTCATAAATCATGGAGTTCTCTTCAACCAGGATGTGAGAAACAGACTTCAAGGACTGCATTTTTTCACCTACGTAATAAAAATCAGTGATGCAGAAAAATTAGTTCATGCATGTGTTGCTTATGAAGTGGATTATCGAAGTCTTCATTATCAGGCTGCTCTTCTAATTCTTTAAAGTCTCTCCAGTTGATTCCGAATGCTGCAGCAAAAATAACAAAGAAAAAGGATCATGTTACTCCTGTATTAACGTCTTTGCACTGGCTCCCTGTTAAATCAAGAATAAAGAATTCAAGGTTCTTCTCCTCACCTACAAGGCACATGCTGGTTCAATGCTGTCATATCTTAAGCAGCTAATTATACCATACTACCTTACTAGAGCTCCATAAATGTTGGGAAGTTGCTGTGCCTAGAGTCTTACAAAGTACGATGGGAGGCAGAGACTTCAGTTATCAAGCTCCTCTTTTGTGGATCCAGCTTGCACTTTCAGTCCGGGGGGAGACACAGCTAAAGATAGCGATTATAGGGCTGGCTCAGGTTAGCTTGGACCAGCCCTGCTTAGGACACGCTGAGCTCCTCACTCTCTCCTTCTATAAGAATTCACATCTCAATAATGCACTAATTTAGCTTCTTCCAAGTCTTTGGGATTCCTCGCCTAACATATTTCCTACTTTTCCTACTCTCAATTTTTGAACAAATTCTCTCACTTGCATATAATGTATCGCGCATCTTTTACAATGCTCATTCTGTACACATGAAATCCAATGCAGTCTGTCCATCCATCTGGCGTTATCCCCATTTTTTTCCTGTGCCGATGTGAGGGTTTGGGGACAGAGGATGTTGCATGTGTACAGACTGTAAAGCCTTCTGAGACAGTAATTTGTGATTTTGAGCTATAAAAAAGAAATTGAATTAAAAAGAAACCGTGGCCAACATACCGCACTAATGATCCAATTTTGTCTTCTACTTTAGTCAAAATGCAGCAGCTTGTGTCTCTTACAAGTAAGAGTAACGTGAGACCAGTGACAAAGATAACTACAACCCAAAAAGAAACACATTGTCTCCGGTTCTTCTGGGGTACCGATTCCGAGCCAGGAATGGTCTGTGGTGTCAGAAACCAGAATAAAGCTTCATGCACAAATTTTAAAAAAGTATGTTTCTATGGTAAAAGCTGGAAACCACTGGCCTGTTGCATAATGTTAAATAGAACACAGATGTTCTGTGTTACAAATGGGAGCTTTGGCTGTCATGCAGTTCCTGTGACACAGATAAAGAGAGGAACACTGTGTTCTGAACCAGTGTCACTACCTTCTACCCATCTACAACATCAGCTGGTTCAGAGCTCCATCATCTCCAACACAAACCCATTCAAAGAGAGTTTATACTTCTCTGTCAAGAAAGTCTCCATCCATAAAGTTGCTCTTGGAACAGTTTATTAAAAGGACACTGAAATAGACAGAATAAACAATGGATTGCAGCAGCTGGAGTCCACATCTTGAGCTGAATTCCAGTCATACCAAACAGTTAGCATCCAATCCCCAGTGCAGAAGTTTTGTTCTGGTACTCTTGATTTGTGACTCAGCCTCGGGCTCCTCATCTCCAGATCTTTCAGGTCTTGGTTTATTATTGGTACTGAGGTATGTAGTGAGGGGACATAACCGCTGTGCACAGCTGGAGGCTCGGCCCTCCTCCCCCTCCTGCATTGCCCTGATGTCAGCGTTCGCCGCCCCCCCGCTCTGAACACTGCTAGTCTGTCGGCGTGTATTCCCCTCGGCTCGGCCTCCATACAGAGCTGCGATTCTGCACCTCTCCGCTGCAGCACAACAGCTACCTTCTTTTCCTCATGCGGGTCTCCACGCGGCCAAGCTCCTCATAAGACTGGTAGAAGACTTCCAGCTCGTGGCAGCCCCAGCCCCTCCAGACACACAGGCACCACTCCATGTTTTCCTTATGAAAACCACATACAACTGTGTCCTTTGCGACTAGTGCGGCCTCCTCCAGGATCCTGAGGGGAGGACATAGAAGAAAAGTGAGGGACGCAACACACAAATCGATCTGTGAGGGAAAGAGGGAGCACATCTCTGTGCCTTGTAATTCGCTCTTCTGAGAAACTAGCGGGCAATCCTAGGAAGCGGCTCCCTGGAAAGCCACTGAGCGTACTGGAAGTACTGTTAGCACTGGAGTTAATATCTGTCTTGTGCTGGTAAACAACTAGATAAATCCTACATAAAAATATCACCATGCTGGAGAGAAGAAATCTAAAAGGATTCCAAGAGGAATGTTCAAACTTTCTCTAATTTATAATGCTGTGACACAGAGCATTCTGGGCGGGAGAAGAGCTTCTGGGTGTGTCATGTATCACACGGAACGACCAGAAATATCGTCTTTCTATGTCGTTTCATCTTCCTGAGGTGTATCATTATCATCCACTGATGTTTGCTCATATTATGTGATATACAGCCGGGCCGGTTACAGGACGGGCAAGGCCGTGCTCTGTGAAGACAGAGCTCTTCACAATCACTAACTCATATGGAATGAAACGGTCCAATCAGAGGACTCCTGGTGGAACAACACAACAGCAGCTATGTGATGAAAATGAACCTGACAACCCCTCCCTTGACCCGAGTCATGACCCCTCAATGTGCCCCTTTGCTACAGGTGCACCAAGTAATAACGGCTTATTAAGGGCCTTGTTTTGGGTGGCCTTTTTATTGCCTGTTGCTAAAAAGCCAGGCCCTGCTGTGGAAACTCACACAGAAGTCCTTTCTGCAAAGGACCAGCTGCTACCTTCTTTACAGAAATAATTACAGACTCAGCTGAGCACCAAGTACATGGTGAATGATGTTGCTGAGCTTCATTAAAGCTGCATCAGTGAATTCATGTGTAGCTCTTAGGCCACTGGTGAACGGTTTAAAAAAACGTGCTTCATGCAGGTGGAAGAGAAATAATTTCAGAAATAAAAAGACTCTTTCATAGTAAAAAGCCTGATTCAAATTAAGAAAAAAGACAACAAGTCAAAGGACAAAGAACAACAAAGAGCATTTAAATTCTAAACTTAATGAACCAAACTGTTTTCTTTGCATTGTGCACTGGGAGAAGATTAAGATTTATTTCAGACATTGTGCGTAAACTGCTTTTTTCTCGGGAACGCACTTTTAAAAATGAGGTCTTACCTATAAATCAATTTGTGCGTAAATGGACGTTCTTAGATGTTTTTACTGCCATTTATTTTCATATCATCTTATACGTGAATCAGCCTTGTCGAGAGGAATACATTTCAGAAGTCAAACTGTGTTTTATCGATCTGTGTTTGAAACAGATACACTTTTAGCATTCAACAGGCCTCCTCTCTGCATCGATCACAGGTTGCTGGTGTTCCGGTAGAGAGAGACCGGTTCAGAGGGTGCAGCAAACTGTTTTTACTGACCTTATATTTTTAGAGCACCATTAACTCAAAGTAAGCACTTTTCAGCTGCAGCTGGTTGCTGTTGGCTTCCTCTCTGTGACGTGTCATTGATGAACTGTGACGCTGTGTCTACTACACAGAGCGTCCTACTTATACTCCTGCTTTATTAGTTGTCTAAGTGTCAACTACTACATGTCTTGGGAATGAATATACATTGAATACGGCCATATCTCACATCATGGTGTGCAGAAGAATGAATGAAGAATGTGCAGGGAAGATAAACCTGTGGCAAGAAAAATACTACTGGACACATTTTTGCACAAATCCCACATGATGTTTTGTGGAGACTTGAGAGCTCTAAACAGGAAGTGAGCTCACCCGAAAGACGAACATCCAGGTGGACTGAGGACAGCGGTGACACGCCCCCTCAGCTGATCCCCGTGCGCTTGCAGTTCAACGACCATGACATCACCTCCACGCCTGGCAAACAACCACACACACATGAATAGGACATGGGTACACTGAATATAGTCTACAAGCTGCTGTGCGGTGCACCAACAAGGTAAAGGACGCTCAAAGAGCTTTCTGATGGGCAGCATCATCAGGAACAAAAAAACATGCATGGTGACACTGAGCATGACTAACGTTAGGAGGGACGTCATCGCCTTTAGGCCGAATGCCGGTTCAAGTTAAAGCCTTTTCACAGTTGGACACTTGTTAGAGGAATGAGGCTAAATCAGAAAGCTGTGGAGCATTATGTGTTCATAGGCTTTAGCAACTCCAGTAGCCAGCTAACACGTGGCTAAGATTAGCCTGATAACAGCAAAGTGTTCCCTTCCTGTCATCATTTCAGTCCTGGCAGACTGAGGGTGATTAAATCCTCCGGTCACATGCAGGAATGGGATGTGAAGCTGCTACAGGCATCTTGATAGTGTTCCATATCGGGTTCCTCTACGCTCACGTGGTGAGGAGGACATGTTGCACACCATCTCTGTCTTAAAGCCTTACTGATATTACAATATAGCCAGGTATGTTTTGCTTGGTTCCTATTTAGACTACTATTCAGTCATTGTCTTTGTGATGGTATTTAGTACCTGGGGATCCACAGCGTTCCTTTCACTGGCAGCAGAGTGAAGGCTTGCAGCTTTCTGGTCTCTGCAGTGTGTCGATCAGACTCGGTCTTGGTGGATGGCCGCTGGTTCTGGTCCCTGCCCGTCTCCTCTGGGTCTGCAGCCAGTGGCGTAGTGCTGCGGCTGGCCAACGAGGCGAGGCCTGCGGAGCTGGAGCGGTCTGAGCAGATGGACGATATGGAGCAGTAGTCCGTCTGGGAGTCCTGGTGCTGGATGATCTGAGTGCCCGCCGCCTCACTGTAGATCAATGTCACTTCTCCTGTAGGGCCTTCCAGCTTCTCTTCCTGGTCTGTTGCGATGGGTTCAGCGGTTGTCGCCATGGTAACCGCTGCAGGACGCTGCACAGCGAAGACGTCTCGAAGAGGAGTGCTGTCTCCGCAGCTGAAGGCGTTCAATACACACAGTTTGGGTTTAACGCGGGCATGAGCAGCATATCTGTACTGCTCAACTGTACATACAGCATTTCAGTTTATTTCTTACTGTAAATGTGACCTGATCACAGTTGAAATCTCTGGTCTGTATTTGTAAGTCATGAGCTAAAACACTATTTACACAGTAATACAGAAAAAGGTTGTGCCCCCCTCACCAGTACTTGGCACAGAGCTGGTAGGACGCAGCGTGGTAGAGCAGCAGCGTGTTCCTGTGGTCATCCAGAGTCCACACTGCCTCCTCTCCCCACAGACCGAAGCTGGTTGTCATGGATACGACAGAGGAAGGCGGCTTGTAGGGCTCAAGCCTTTGAACTGCCCGAAGACTCAGAGAGTCAACGACCAGCACGCCGGGACCATTGGAGAACCACAGCTGGCAAACACCACAGACAGGGAGGACGGACAACTTAATATCCATCACGTGAAGGTGGAAGTAAACTTCACAGTAACTAATCTGCTCACCTGAGAGCCACTGTTGACCAGTGCCATGCTCCTGACTGGGTAGGGTCTCTGCCTAGGATCTGAGTCCTTCAGAGCAAACACCGTCTTGTTGAGGGTGTGTGAGCACAGGTAGGTCTCCCCGTCCAGGGGAAGGTCCTCCACTAAGCTGTACACCGCCACCAGGCCGTCAGACATCCCCGCAAACACTCTGGCCAGGTTCTTCACAGGTGAGGAACATTTCACTTTGAGTAATCATGCGTTTCCTGCACTGCTGTGACATTGTAATGTGACACCTGGATTCTAGGTCAGAGGTCAGAGGGGCAGCAGTGCACACAAAGGCATCACGCTGCTGGCAGTGAGATGTTTTAGTGCGTAATGAGAACACTGTCATTACTGGTTGTACTAAAGCTGTCCATGTCTCTGCGTCTTAACTTTAAAGAAGACTAATGTCAGGGAATTCATCAGAGACTGGCGACAGGTTCATGTCCACTTCCCCTCCATCTAAAGCCCTTTTCAAACATGGACTACGAAACCATCTGGAAGGGACGGCAGCACACACAGAGACACGGCCTGGGGGGTATTGGTGTTAGTGTGTAACTGCTGGAGAAGAGCAGTGGCTTGGAAAGTGTTGAAATGAAGGAGGAAGATTTCTAAATGAAACATCTGCTTTAGAGCATCTTTTAACACAGAATCCTGCTGCCTGCTTTCCAGAGGTTTGGTTAGAACTGTAATGTGCTCACATTTTATATGAAAAGTGTTCCTCCGTGCAGCTGGCATGAATGAAAAGCACACATGTAGGGGGGGGTGCTGCTCGGGCTATGGATGTGGATGTACCTGTTTAAAATGTGCTCCTTGCTACAGGATGAGAAAATATCTTTACAACGTGGTGCAACTTTTCCTGCTCCAATGGATTGATCTGATTTCTTTTTGTACAACAGATGATATTTAACTCATACAAGTATTCTATTAGAACAACACATGTATTTACTGTTGAACCCTGTGGTTTCCTATTCTGTATGTATTCAGCAATGACTACACAGTCGCACACTGTAGCTCTGCTCAACACAACAGAGTTGTGCACATATATTACAGTCCCATGTGTGTGCACACAGGTGTGAGCTCACCTGTTCTCTCGCTGGGACAGGGAACAGGCAGGTGATGATGGCTGGACAGGAGAACTGTTTCTGGGGTTGACTGAGAGGACACATGTCCTTCAGACTGTAGATGAAAACCTCCTGGTCCTATCAAACAAACACACAAGGAGGTTTGACACTCGACAGACGAGCTGCTCTCATTGCTTGGTGCTTTCAGCAAACGGCTTAAAACACACTTCCATAACAGACTGCAAACGTTGGACGTCAGCACGGTGTGAAGGGACATTAAAGACACGTGTTTGTGTAGAAATGGTGGATGTGATTCATGTGGTGTGTACCTCAGTGGCCATCCACAGAATGTTACCCATCTTCATCTGACAGCTGATCCTGCTGCCAGCGCAGGACATCCTCTTCACCTCCACCTGGCCCTTCTCCACATTCACCACACTGTAGTTCCTACACCACACACAGAAAACACCTTCACTAGAGCAGGTGACACAACATGGGGATAACAACGTGGAAATGGCTTTCCCTTTCTTTTGTCCCAGGGGTGTCTCAGGTAGAACTAGGAACATCGTGTTTGATGAATGGGCCAGCAAATATAACGTACATAAACTACCAAACTGAAAAAACGGCATTCATTCATTGAAATGCTTGAATAAAAATACTTCAATTCAATACAGTAATTAGTGTAGGCCAAAATCAGCCTCAGAGGGCTTTACAATCAGTACCCTCTCATGGGCACAAGAAACAAAAGAAAACACATGTCATGTGTACCAAATGAACAGCATGAAAAATAGTATGACCAATAACAAAGATAGTAGGTAGAGATATAACTATGGTCTAGATCACTGATAGTTTATGATGCTACGTGATCAAAGATATATTTTATGCTGGAACTTGTTGTTTTAAAATAATAAACTAGAAATTAACGCTCTGGCACCAACAGCTTTGGTTTTATATTTGATTTGATTACATTAATGTTTAAGCTAAGATGTACAAGAAATGTTTTAACTGCTACTCAGTAAAGGAGGATACTGCTTGTATTTATAGTGTTTGCACCAATAGAAGTGTGCAACAGAGAGAGGGGGAGGGGCTAAAAAGGTCTTATCACAGTGAAGGGGTTCCCTGCAGAAAGGGTTCTACAGGAGTCTGGGGCCATTAACACCACCTCAATGAAGGGATGAACGCTGATTTTATTGCAGAGATGAACCTGGAATCCTGCTGCGACACAAAATACAATGAGCAGTGTGTTTGATCACTGTGCTGTAAAAGGAAGAAGCAGATTATCTTCAGTTTGAGAGTTAAAGGACCTGATCAACAGTTAGGACGGGCTCAGGTCTACAGTTAGGACGGGCTCAGGTCTACAGTTAGGACGGCCTCAGGTCTACAGTTAGGACGGCCTCAGGTCTACAGTTAGGACGGGCTCAGGTCTACAGTTAGGACGGCCTCAGGTCTACAGTTAGGACGGGCTCAGGTCTACAGTTAGGACGGGATCAGGTCTACAGTTAGGACGGGCTCAGGTCTACAGTTAGGACGGCCTCAGGTCTACAGTTAGGACGGGATCAGGTCTACAGTTAGGACGGGCTCAGGTCTACAGTTAGGACGGGCTCAGGTCTACAGTTAGGACGGCCTCAGGTCTACAGTTAGGACGGGCTCAGGTCTACAGTTAGGACGGGCTCAGGTCTACAGTTAGGACGGCCTCAGGTCTACAGTTAGGACGGCCTCAGGTCTACAGTTAGGACGGGATCAGGTCTACAGTTAGGACGGGCTCAGGTCTACAGTTAGGACGGGCTCAGGTCTACAGTTAGGACGGGATCAGGACTACAGTTAGGACGGGATCAGGTCTACAGTTGGGACGGGCTCCAGTCTACAGTTGGGACGGGATCAGGACTACAGTTAGGACGGGATCAGGTCTACATTTAGGACGGGTTCAGGTCTACAGTTGGGACGGGCTCCGGTCTACAGTTGGGACGGGCTCAGGTCTACAGTTAGGACGGGATCAGGACTACAGTTAGGACGGGATCAGGACTACAGTTAGGACGGGATCAGGTCTACATTTAGGACGGGTTCAGGTCTACAGTTGGGACGGGCTCCAGTCTACAGTTGGGACGGGCTCCGGTCTACAGTTGGGACGGGCTCAGGTCTACAGTTGGGACGGGCTCCGGTCTACAGTTGGGACGGGCTCAGGTCTACAGTTGGGACGGGCTCTGGTCTACAGTTGGGACGGGATCAGGTCTACAGTTGGGACGGGATCAGGTCTACAGTTAGGACGGGCTCAAGGCGGTCCAAGCACTACAGTTAAGTTTAGCCCCCGATATGCCGCTATAGATAGATATACTGATACACTGACCCCCCCCTCCATATGCGTTTAGACTTATGATAAATCAGACAGCAGCATGTTAATAGGAGGCGACGATGCCTCTGTGATGGATCTATATAACCTGTAATCCTGGTCGTGGCTCACAAGCTTAAGCAGACAGCAACTGTTGACAGACAGCTGTTATGGACTGTGGACTGCTGAGGCTGCCTGATCCTCCTTTGAAAACTAAAATGATTTTTTATTAAATCGGTTATATTATAACTTGTTTGTCTCTTAATCTTCTTAGAGTCGACCCAAAGATTTAAGAGCACAACATATGCGAACACAAAAAACAATTTTAATGCTAAAGTTGTTTAATGCCAAACAACCATGCCAGAGACGGAAATATTCTCTTTTATATTTGATAAGCTGCATTTTAATTCATAGCAAAAATAGAGCTTAAGGAAACAATGTAACACGACATACATAATAATTCAGTAACTTCAGCCTTTTAAAACAAATTCAACAGTGCTTTCACGCTCAAAAAAGTGAGAGGTAGTTTAAGAAAGACTCAAATTGTGTAACAAAAACACGTTTTGCTCCTAGTTCTACTTGACAAGACCAGTTGTTCCCACCGCATTAGTGAACGTTACTAAGTTGGCTCGTTTCCCTGCTATTAGCAGACTAAAGAAACAAACCTGTTGTCCTCGTCTCCGTCCCAGAACACAGCGCCTTGTCCCTGCAGCTGGGACAGGAAGAGCTGCGCGTGGCTGTCACAGGACATCACATACTTGAGGCAGGGGAAACTGGGCTGCTGCATCTGTCTCACACACCGCATGGCCACCGGCCTCTGTAGACACACACACACACACACACACACACACACACACACACACACACACACACACACACATTATTACTAATTATCGTAAGCGAAGCACATTTAGCTACGTATAGTAAGGCTAACTACAGTGGAGTACCTGCGCACACACTGAGCTCTCACCCTCCTACCGAAGGTCAACAAGGCCTCACCTTCTCAGGCTTGGTGTCCCAGCATTCCGTCAGTAGGCTGTGGAGGCAGCAGAACTGGACCTCCTCAGGACTGCCCAGCACTGGCCGGATGCCTTTGGAGAGCTTCTTGGCTATCTGAAGCTGGTGCTGGCCCAGTACTGGCCTCCGCCCGGACAGCAGCTCATACAGCACCATACCGTAGGAGAACATGTCCACCTTTAGAAAAAACAAGGGACATGATGTCACATTTACGAGGTTATTTAGGCCTCCAGTTGAATTGAAGTGAGTGCTGTGAATGGAGGTTATGCAAGATCACACAGTATAAAATCCCACCGCACGTCCAGAGCTCATTCGTCTCCATTTTCTTACATTCCTGTATCAGGGGTGAAGTTGCGGTGGCCTCGGTTTGATTAAGTTTAAGGCGGTACCACAAGCAGAATTAGTAACCAGATAAAATGTTACTCTAGTTACTTCTTATCTATATCAGTTACTTATTCAGTCTCTTTAAACTCTTTGAGAATCTGTGACAGTTGAAACAATTGAAACCATTCTATTTTATATCTGTCTTGGATTTAAATGAAGTGTGATATACAACAATACGCAGGATCGTCTGGGGGCTTTGAGCATTTGATGTTTTGCACATTACTAAATTATAGTAATGGACCAAATCTCTGTTGAGTTTATTCATAACATATTCACAAAAAAATGCAACACAGCTGTGCACCGGAAAAGGGGGCAATTATGAGCCTGTGCACCCTGGTGCCGTGTTTCCATCACTGCTTATCTGTGTCCAGACAAGGAGTTCTGATTTGGAACTTTCCCACTGAAGTCAGAAGCCAGATGTGAGTGGGTGTCTCAGTCCAATGGGAAAAGGACTTAATAAACTCAGGAATCATAGGGCCCCAGCTTTCCCTGTGTTTACAATTTACTCCAGCACACTAATTCAGTGATGAAAAACGGCCAGCCCTTCGTTCTCATTTATCTAATCCTTGAAACCTACACGAGAGGCCCAAAATACCAAAATGAGTTCCTGTCTGAATGGTCACAGATAATGGTTGGGACTTCCCAGAATAACTGCAGAGGCAAACAGTTGTGCAGAGCCAAAAGCGCCACACTACTTCTGTCGTGACATCATTTGGATATGGAAGTCAAATAAACTTAAATAGACTTGTTCCCATTTGATCAACAAAACATGCATAGTACTTTGAAGCTGAAAAATAATAATAATGTTATTGTGAGACAAACAATAAAACAGTGCATCCGGAAAGTATTCACAGCGCTTCACTTTTTCCACATTTGTTTATGTTACAGCCTTATTCCAAAATGGATTAAATTCATTATTTTCCTCAACATTCTACACACAACAACACATAATGACAAAGTGAAAACTGTTTTTTGCTAATTTTTGCAAACCTGTTAAAAATAAAGAACAAAAACATAACATGTACATAAGTATTCACAGCCTTTGCCATGACACTGAGAGGAGAACCTTCCAGAAGGACAACCATCTCTGCAGCACTCCACAAATCAGGCCTGTTTGGTAGAGTGGCCAGACGGAAGCCACTCCTCAGTAAAAAGCACATGACAGCCCGCCTGGAGTTTGCAAAAAAGCACCTGAAGGACTCTCAGACCATGAGAAACAAAATTCTCTGGTCTGATGAAACAAAGATTGAACTCTTTGGCCTGAATGCCAAGCGTCATGTCTGGAGGAAACCAGGCACTGCTCATCACCTGACCAATACCATCCCTACAGTGAAGCATGGTGGTGGCAGCATCATGCTGTGGGGATGTTTTTCAGCGGGAGGAACTGGGAGACTAGTCAGGATTGAGGGAAAGATGAATGCAGCAATGTACAGAGACCTCCTGGATGAAAACATGCTCCAAAGCGCTCTGGACCTCAGACTGGGGCGACGGTTCATCTTCCAACAGGACAACGACCCGAAGCACACAGCCAAGATAACAAAGGAGTGGCTTCGGCACAACTCTGTGAATGTCCTTGAGTGGCCCAGCCAGAGCCCTGACTCGAACCCGATTGAACATCGATTGAAGATCTGAAAATGGCTGTGCACCGACGCTCCCCATCCAACCTGATGGAACTTGAGAGGTTCTGCAAAGAAGAATGGGAGAAACTGCCCAGAAATAGGTGTGCCACGCTTGTGGAATCATCCCCAACAAGACTTGAGGCTGTAATTGCTGCCAAAGGTGCTTCAACAAAGTATTGTGCAAAGGGTCTGAATAAGTATGCACGTGTTATGTTTTCATTCTTTATTTTTAACAGATTTGCAAAAATTTGCAAAAAACAGTTTTCACTTTGTCATTATGTGTTGTTGTGTGTAGAATGTTAAGGAAAATAATGAATTTAATCCATTTTGGAATAAGGCTGTAACATAACAAAATGTGGAAAAAGTGAAGCGCTGTGAATGCTTTCCGGATGCACCGTATGAACAAGAAAGTATTCACCCCTGTGAGTCAACACATGGTAGAAACCCCATTTGCTGCAATTACAGTTTTTGGGGGTTCGTCACATCTAGAGATGGAAATGTTTGTCCATTTTTCTGAAAAGCTGAAAATCTGCCAGATTAGACGTAGACAGAACAGAAATCTTTCAAATCTTGCCATAGATCCTCATTTAGATTGCGGGGTGGACTTTGAAACCATTCCATTGTAGCTCTGGCTTTATGTGTAGGGTCATTGTCCTGGTGTGTGTCTTTTGCAGGCCGCATCCTATTTTCTTCAAGGACTATCCATCTTTTTCTCAATTCTGACTAGTTTCCTTGTATCTGCTGAAGAGAAGCATTCCCCCCAATATCTCTGCAAAGTTCTGACCAACCCCAACATTGGATGCCAAGCATCAAAAGCAGCAGGATTTATAACAATACGACAGTAACTTGCTTCCTAAACAATCTGGTGGACAATTTGAACTGAGGGAGGATGACCCCCTCTAGTTTCAAGTTAGATACAGAACAAAAAAACGTTCTTCCAATAAAAAACTGAATTTATATTAACAACACAGAACACAAAAGTGTTTACGGTTCTGAATTGGATTAAACCTTGGTGGCACGCAACGGGCTGTGAAATGACGCTGTGTGCCTGCGGCTCAGTGGAGAGCACAGTCGTCCTCAAACCAGAGGCTCCACTAACGTCCATGTCAATGTGTCCTTGGGCGAGGCCTTTAACTACCAATAGCCCCCGTAGCTGTGACTGTGGTGTGAGAATGTGTGGATGATGACATGTAGTGTTAAAGAGCTTGGAAGACTAGAAAAGAGATAAACTAGTATGGTACAAAACAAATAGTTGGAACAGCTTTCCAGTTGTGTTACTGTATATTGTCCAGATGCTTAATAGACAAATTTTCTTGCCAGACGCGCGCCGCTGGCCAACACGTTTACAGCCATGTAGCTGCTTTTCATTTACTTTCCCATTACACTCTTCCTTTCCCAGTGGCTCCATCCTTTGTTCACTCTCCAGCCTAGTCTGCATATTATTAGAAAAGTTAAGCCTAATAAAAAAAGGGAGATTAAGGGAAAGGAGAGAGGAAAATGACTTTGACTGGCTGAAGTCAGCACATTCTATGAGAGACGGCTTTTTTTCTGCTCTTTGAAAGTTTCCTCTACACAGTCAGGGTCAGTAAAACAGTAAGCTCTAGTAGCTACCCCCCCCCCCCCAACCCTCACCCCGGTAGAGGAGGGGCCAAGACCTACCATACCAACAGCCCGCAACGGACCGATTGGATGACAGCAAAGAGAACATGTAGGCCCTACTGGCTGATTTAAAAAATGTACAAAGCTTTGCATCAAAATTAAACTTAAAATTAATTCCTTACTTGAATTACAGTACTGTAATTATAATGCATTATTTTATAATTAGCTTTAATAATCCAGTGTTGCCGGTTATTTCAATTTGCAGTGAAAGGATGAAAAGCTGGTGGGGAAATTTCTACACACAGCTTGATCTGATTATTGTTTATTATTTATTTTGTTTGGTGTTTTACTTCCAATGCAAAAAGCGTCAACTACTGTCTCAGCCTCTCTGATCTAACTGACTGCAGCATGCGGTGGTCTCGTGTCAGAGGTCTACGGTAAACAAAGTTGTGTTAACTGCGTTAAAATATTTCATCGCATTAATATCGGGCACAATAATTTGATGGATTAACGTGTTAACTTTGACAGCCCTAAGTATTAGCATTGCTATTATTACAGGCCAACACCATGACTGGCAAATAAACAGAAGTAACCTGTATTTTACATATAAAATGTAGCTCATGAATGTGCACAGAGGTGGTCAAGGCTGATAAGGATTGCCTGTTACTAACCGAGCAACAGGAACTCAGAGACTGACGAGTACACATTTTAACAGATCCCGGCTCCATCATTGCACCCTGGATCAAGCTACACTGTACACCAACAGAACCAAAGACTTCATCCATGATGCTCGGTGCTCAAACGCAGTCACAGTTGACGGACAAGGCTCCAAAGATTTTAACTTTTAATTTCAAGATGTTAACCATACCATTCTGTCGCTGTCGTTTGACTGAGATTTGTCTGATGCAGATTTAATCTCAATCGGTTTTACCTGAATACCAACAGTATGCACATATGTAACATAACGTATAACAGCCTACGTTTCCCTTACTTAGATATGCATTGCAGAGCGTCTTTGACTACCAAGAAAAGCGCTATAAAAAACGAAAGTATTATTATTACTTAAGAAAAAAATACCATGGTCATTTAATTTACTATTACAAAAATAAATGAACTGTGTAAATGGGAGGAACAGTTCTTAAAATACGAGGGGCTCAATAAGAGGGGCTCCGTACCTTCTCATCATACACGATGCCTGGTCGGATCTCGGGGGCCTGGTAACCTGGTGTGCCCTCCACCCCTAACGCCCCCTCACGGAAGGTTTGCCGAGAAATGCCGTAGTCGGACAGTTTAATGTTAACTGGATCCTGCACCTGGAAAACAATAACACAATTGAGTGGACGGCTAACATAATACACGTCTCTGTCTTCATTGGACCGTGGGAACAACAGCAACAACACAGGACGTAGGTTCAAGTGTTATATGTTGATGTTATTTCATAAATACATTAGAATTCTGTCAATAGACCATACATAGGTGGCCGTCTTATGGCACCACACAGACCTCCAGAGACCACACCAGGATGTTGTCAGATTTGAGGTCACAAAAGATGATGCTCTCCTGTGAAGGTACGCCAGTCCTGTTGCGATTTGATAGGCTACTTTATAAGTTAGCATGTGACCAAGGGGCATGTACCCGGCTCCTACCAGGAGAAAACATAGACACAAGCTTTAGGACCAACTTCAGGAGAGAAATGAATGGATGCAGAAATCTCGACGGACCTTTGCGCTTCTCCTCCAGCACTGTGTTCAGGCTGCCCAGGGGGGCCAACTGCAGGGCGAAGCACAGTGGATGGATGCTGATGCCTACCAGGGGGACGATGCAGGGATGCTGCAGAGAGTGCAACATGCTGGCCTCCTGGCGAAACTCAGAGAAGCTTCGACAGGCATCTGCAGACTGCAGGTGTTTCACCATGGTGTCTGAGGCAAGAAAGGACGGAACAAGAGGCAGACCCGAGTTTGCAAAAGGAAAACTGTGAAATTACATGACATGACGTGTCATTTAGCTGACACTTTTATCCAAAGCGACTTACAATTAGTGCATTCAACCATGGGGTACAAACTCAGATGAACAAGAAACAAGAAAGTGCAATTTCCTCAAATAAGCCAATTTACAATTCAAAGTACAATTCAAGTGCTACAATTTGTTAGTCTTTAGTGGAGGTAGAGTCTGAAGAGGTGTGTCTTTAGTCTGAAGATGTGAAGGCTCTCTGTGGTCCTGGTGTCATCAGAGAGCTCGTTCCACCATTTAGGAGCAGGACAGCAAAGAGTCGAGTGTTTTAATCTCAGTGAGGGAGGGAGGAGCAGTTGAGAGAAATGCAGAGAATATGTGTGACATTTCCAATAGCTGATCACTATGGGAAACAGTGTCACTGGATACAACAGTGAAAACTACATTATGTAAGTATTTATAACTGTTTGACTGAAAATTGGTTTGGAGTGACTCAGTAGAGAACAGTCAGGTCGCTGCTGCTCACCCCTTGTTATAACGTGCCAAATGTTGCCAAACAGCAGATCATCTTAACTCAGTGAATAACTCAATACATGCCGCCTGTTTCATGGGTTAGTGTTCACTGGAAGTGGCTCACATCCTCACTGTTAGTCTTTTCCTTTGTGTCATCTGAATCCTCACAGGCAGATCAACGTGATGGGGTAAATAATCTCAATATAGGTGGTGTTAAAAGGCATAGTGGCCATGTGCTCCAGGCTTTCAGTGCACAGTTGATGTAACTTGAGTACCTGTGTCGCGGCTGATGGACTGCTGTCGACTCTTCTTGAGGTGGAAGCGCTTAATGGCCACTGGCTGGTTACGATACCGGGCTCTATAGATGATTGTGCCACTGCCACCCTGACCGAGGATGTTATTCTCCTCCTCAGAGTACTCCAGCTGGGCCCTGTCTAAAAACAGCCTAACACACAGACACACACACATTACATTACAGGTCATTTAGCTGACGCTTTTATCCAAAGCGACTTATTGCATTATTAAGCCATGGCTTTTTACAATTTTGCCCGGGCAGCAATCAGGGGTTGAGTGTCTTACTCAGAGACACTTCGACGTGGAGCAGCCGGGACACAAACCACCAAACCTTGTGTTTCCCAGCGCACCCGCTCTACCCCTGCGCCACGACAACCTCAAAATTATTCAACCCCTTCATGACAAGCATCTTCAGTACTTCGTAGAGCACCCTTTTGCTGTTATGACCTGCTGCACACGTGATGCATAGCCAGACACCATGCTTGTCATGAAGAGGTTGAATAATTTTGAGACTGCACTGAGTTCATTAAAGTCATTAAAAGAAGCATTTCGTGTTGAATTTGGACAAAACCGTGTGTGTGTGTGTGTCAGTAAGCAGCCTGGATGAGCCCAGCAATGACGGTGGTTATTGCTGGGCTCATCCAGCAATGACCACTCTTTGACCACTCTTTTAATGAGTGACCACTCTTTAACTCAATGACCACTCTTTAACTGGTGGTCACCACCAGTTAAAGAGTAAAAATCTCAAAACAGATGCACTCAAATGAGCGTCGTTACATAGTTACATGTTGCGTAAGTGGAAGCCTTGAAGCAACGATGGTGAATACATTTATAAAGAAGAAACTGTTACCTGTCTGTGTATTCAGCAATATTGATATGAAAACAGGTCTGAAACATGCCCATTGTAATAACACATCAGGATGCAAATGAAACCACCCATTATTGGATGCATGGTGACCATTGGGTCAGCGGTTACCGTGCAGGGAAGTCGGTCATAAACAGCTCTGGAACCAGCTCCTGCAGGGTGACGGGCTGGTCAGGGTGCTGAGGACACACGATGTGCTCCTTCTCCACAGCAGCCAGCACACAGTCCTCCATGTTAAAGTAATGAACCCCGTCTCCACCTGCCCCTTTGTCTCCCACCTGGCCGAAGGGGCTGCCTACGACCTCCGAACGCGTCGGCCGGCCCGGTGAGGCGCAGAGTGGACACGGGGCGTACTGCTCCATGAGGAGGCTGCCGTCGCTCTCGCTGGCAGTCAGAGCTACGAGGAAGGACACACAGACACACGACGCGTTCTAGAGGGCTGAAAACATTCACGCAGATGTTCACACAGCCAGACGCACCGGCAAGTCTCAGAAAGGTTCAGGTTGAACAATGGATCTTAGGAACGTACCCTCTTCCTGTGAACGCTATCCTCCACCGGTTTGTGACTCAAATCTTAACATATTTATCCCAAATATCCACGGTGAGCTCAAAATATTCAGAAAAAAGGTCAATCTGACCGCCCCTCCTCTCATTACACTGAATACTGTAGCATGGAAACATTATTTGATGTAGATCAGTTCAGTCTGCAGCAGAGCTTTACAGGACAACTTTCATATTAGTACAAACTTGACATTTGACTTAGGAAACAGATTAAAAAATAGCTTTTTTGATTGCCTTATTTGCTGAATATGAATGCTTTGGCACACCTTTGTGTCTTCCTTTAATAAATGAGTAAATGGCTGTAAAGGTGAAGCCGTAAAAGCATGCAAAGCATCGACTGTGATGTTGTCAATAGCAAGGATAACAGCACACACAGCGGGAGGGGGACTATACATCTGCTCACGTAGGCATCACGGCATCAAGATCATATATACATATTTAATAGCTGTGTGCCACTAACGCTCTGAATATAGTACATATTACTCTTGTGAATGATCAAATAAGAAAGCAACAAAACTGTGAAATAAATAAGGACACATCTGCTTAAGACAAAAGGTGTTGAGAGCTGAAATCAGCAAAGCCGAGTCCACACAAGCAGAGAGCAGGGCACTGACCAGGGAACCACTGCTCAATCAGGGAGTTCACGTTGTCTGTGATGAAGGCCATGGCAGAGAAGTCTCTCATCTCTGACTGGCAGATAATCTTTATGCCTCCACTTTTCTTCCTCCTCCAGTTGATATCTGACGACTCCACGCTGCAGAAACACAAACAACAGGTCACTGAAGGTTGTTCCGCTTCCTCCCCTTCACGGAGCACAACGAACAGGCGGAACATCTGATCCAGTTACACCTTCATGTTCCCTTCACTTGTATTAGTTGTATTGTTTCGGCCTCTCTGAACACTGAGGATATCCTATCCCCCGTGCCACAGTATGCTCCCATTACACTTACAATAGCACAATCTTCTCATTGAAACACCAGACTGTTGGTAAGAACGTTAAACCTTCAGTAAAACGTTGTGGTGAGTATTGAGACGCATATTCTGAACAAACATGGCTTGTTCTCATTATTCGCGATCTTCTTAAAAACACTGTATTCTGTCAGAAATCAGCTGCGATGTCCATTGTGAAATTTGAATAGCTCTGACCTTTGCTCCCCACCCTTACATTGGTCCCACTCTTCATTTCATTACTGCCTACACCTTCCAGTCCAAGCTCTGACCTGAGGTAACCTCCATCAAAAGTGACCAGCAGCCCCTCCTTCCAGTAAATGGTCTGGCTGCGTCGGACTCTGAAGGTGCTGCAGCGATTCCTCTGCTGGGTTCCAACAAAGCTGTAGATCACGGAGTTCCTGCTGCGTTGGCGTTGGTTTCTTTTGGGTTCAAATGACTGCACAAACGCAACATTTCAGCTAAAGATAGTGAAGAGCACAGTGTTTGAAAGCCCAACATTTGAAGGACGACAATCTACCTGCAGGTCCATCTCGGTGAGACCGATGAGCATCCTGGCAATTAAGCGCTCCCAAAATCCAGCGGGAACAAAACTCATCTGGACGACGCGCTGCAGGGTGTTGTCGGCCTGCTGACGGAAGCCATGGATGTCCATGGCTGGCTTGGGGGGAAGGAGGTGGGGCAGCAGATAGCTGCACCAAGAGGAATGAGCAAAGTACAAGTTTGAGACTATGTTTTGAAACGTTAGGATTTAAAGAAACGTTTGGCATGCCATGCTACTGCTAAAACACAACATCTTACCTATTACTGGCCACAGGGAGAGCGATCTCAAACTTGGCCAGAAACTGGAAATACTGTTCCTCTGTCTGTGGTGTGAACCCTGTTCCTACCAGAAGCATCTGCACAACAGACATGATCACAGATATGAAAATGAACTCATCAACAGGTTCTGTTCCATTTTCCAGTTCCAATTGTTTCTCACCCTCAGGTCTTCTGCACGGATCACTCCATTCCTGGCGACAGAGCGAGAGGATTTGAGGTGCATGATCCTCTCCAGACACTCGGACAGCCACACAGGACACAGGAAGTAGAGGGTACAAAGGCCATGGCTGGTGTCTGGGAAGTGCAGCAGGGTCCCCGTCTCGATCAAGAAGCTGATGGCTGGAGACGAGAGTCCTTAGCGCTTTGTTCTCTCATGAAAAATGATATGCCCCCTTCCTGGATTCTTATTTTTATCACACTTAAATGCTTCATATCATCGACACATTTTAATATTAGACAAAGATAACCCGAGTAAATACAAATTAATTATTTTTAAATGATGATTTCACGTTCTTCAGGAGAAAAAAGCAAGTCAAACCTTTCTGGCCCGATGTGAAAAAGACCCCCCTTGATAAATGAATGAACTGTGATTAACCACATGTTATGCTGCCAAACCTGTTGAATGACTTAAATTTAAAAAACAAAACAAAAGTTAAGTAAGCTGAAAAAGCAGCACATCATTGAAGAACTATGAGAAACAAAGTAAATAACTAACATATGGAGGTCACAAGAGACCCCATAACATCTAATGAACTGCTGGCCTCACTTAAGGTCAGAGGCCATGAATCGACAATAAGAAAAAGGCGGGTCAAACATTGCATCCACAGGAGATGCAAGAGAAAGCAACTGCTGACAAAAAAGAATAATCTGAGACACAGGTAGCAGCAGGAATCTCTGCCTGTTCAACCGGCATCTCTCATTGGATGGACACTCACCACCTGAAGATGAAACTTGACAAGACTGAACTTCTAGGGGAAAGGCTTCCCCACCAACCACCCGACCTTTGACCACGCCGTCCTAACCCCAACCTGACTGCCAGGAATTTCGTGTGGCACTAGACAGTCAACGTTTTGGCTTTAGAATGGGAGGCTCATTCATCAAAACGACCCGTGTGTCAACCCCAAATTACTGAACCTTTTAGCGGTGCACTGCTGGCAACACAAGTTGGTTAGAAGAGAAGGTGTTTTTCTTGTCGGGTAGAGGAATGGAAACGGACCCCAATTATGCATATGATGGCAGCTAAATGTGTGTTTTAGGGGCTGACCAACAGCTAGAAGCTTTCATAATGAATTAATGAAAATACACGTTTGTAAAAGAAAATCATTTAAGGTTACGTAAGTAAACGACTTTCAAATGCAGGTGCTGAAAGCTCGACAGTACCAATCTGCAGGTCCTCGTAGTCGCTGATGTCACTTCCTGGGCTCTGTTCGATGATGTGGTCCAGCTGCACATCAGTTAAGTACTGAACCTCCCCCTCAGCGTCTCGCCTCTGCTTCTCCGCTATCACTCTTTCCTGAAGTGTCAGATAGCTCTTGGGGATCTGGTGGAGGCGACAAGGGAAACATCTGTCTCAACAACGTAAGGCAGTTGTGGGGCGTTCGGATTTGTTTTGACCGAACAGCCCCTGGAAGTAACCATAGCAAAAACTGTTAAAACCACTTCTTTGTGTTCAACATCTCCCAGCCACAACAAGAAGCCATTGATAAATACATGTGGTTCATCGTGGGGCCTGACTAGGATGTTAGAGTGGATTAGCTCGGCCCAATCAGCACTATTTAGTCAGTGAGAGGGTTGTGACCCTGCTGCGTGGAGAATTACAGGTAATGTAAGGTCTAGGGTCCTGACAAAGTCAACGAAACAATCCAAAACATATTGGATCTTTTCAAGAATGTTTTGTCTTTAAGCTCTGCTCCTGAAAAATGTGAGTGTCGTACCATGTATGTACTTAGTTTGTGTACCTGTGGAGCTTCCCAGTCCCACGGTCTCACTCACCAGTCTGCCCAGCAGCTTCCCGCCACAGGCTGAGCTGCTGCCGTCTTTCATAGAAAGAACAACCGTGTACATCAGCTTCTTCAGCCCATCGAAGCCCTCCATGGTCTTACAGGACACTTCACTGAGTACCAACACACACACACACACACACACACACACACACACACACTTGAATACACCAGACATTTGAACACAATAGTGACAACTCGAAGCATGAAGATTCAGTGCAAAGGGAAACGTGTGCTTACTGAAGGTGTTTCCATGTGATGTCGGGGTAGCCGGTGGCTCGAGCCCCTGACGGCGATCGGCACAGAGCCAGAACATACGCTCTCAGCGTCGCCAGCCTTTCAGTGCGAAACTTGGCGTCAATGAGGTCCAGATGTGTTCCCACCACCACCACAGCAGAGTTGGGTGCGCGTGCCTACAAGCCACAATACACATGAGCTACGGCCTTTATTGGAAGAGTAATAAAGAAACAACAAGTACGCACAAGGACAGCTTCTTCCTGTTATTTCAAACACTTCTTGTGTTCTTCCCCAGCAGATGGTTTGGTTGCGTTGTCATCGTATAAAACAAATATTGAAGTTTGTTCACAGACACATGAGCACTTTCTCACTGATAAACATGTTGCAATTGGTTTGACATCATTAATGCTTCAGTACAGAGAAGTGGTCCTACTTGGTATGGTTTTATATTCCACTTTGTTGTTTATTCTACAATGTAGGACTAGTCCCTTGATATAAAAGAATATAACCTAGCACAGCTGAACTTTTATCATAGGGTGACTATCTATAAATGTGGATATTTTGAAGGTTTCTTTCTGTTTTTCAGTGACTGACTCTTTCATTATGTAATGATGATTGGTGTTCCTGTTTATTTGACACCAAGTGAATGAAGGAGTGAGGAAAAGAAGGGCAATGGAGGCAGAGCATTTAGAAAAGTTGGCGGGGCGGATATGGGTTCCTCCTAGTTTGATAGACCTTTGTCTTTTGTCTCACTTGTGTTGTGTGAGACGTTACACATTTCTTGCTCTTCCTTTTGCCTGGCATACAATCTTCTCCAATGCACATTATCAATGTGTCTGCACTTGTCAATATAGTAGTGTGAATCTTTATGACCTTTTTGTCTACCAAGTGACTACGAACAGTTCATTTTTGTGATTTCTTAAAAAAATGTATCATGTTTTTTACATTTAAATGAAAACTCTTTTGAAAAGGATTGAGTTGATCCTCTTTCGATTATTGTTGTTTTAGTGAGATGAGGACCGAATGAGGCTGGCAATGACAAAACTCATAGGACAAAGTTACCATAGAATTCATCTACAACCTATAAAATAAAAGGAGCTAACAATAATGTAAACCAACCAACAAACTAGCCGGAAGAAAGGGGGGCGTTGATGAAGGTTAGGAGTAAGTTATTAGCCATCAATGAATTGTTTGAGTGGAATCACGCAGTGTCATGGTTGATGTGCTCTGGCAACCAAATGATTTTCTTGTACTTCGATCACTCCAGAGACACAAGTACGATCACAGTCACGCTCGTCACTTTTTGACCCGTTACCATTTGAGTACAGCTGGAAGCAGGTTCTAAGTGGCTCTGCAGAAGTGGATCAACATTTCACCTCAATGTTAAGCAGCCACGTCTGCAGGTTGGCGACAGCCTCCTCTCCCAGAGCCAGGTTCCAGATCACCACGTACAGGGCCTTATCGGTGAAGAAGCACTGGTTCACCGTGGACATGCTGGCCTGACCACCGATGTCCCACACGTTGAACGCCACGGAGTCCTTCTGCAGGGAACAAGACCAGCGCTAAGTCAACTGCAAACAAGGGCCGGGGAGCTGACAAGGTTGCGTGTCAAGAACAAAGAATGAGTCATTATTAGAGTCTCTCCCTGATTTTGTAGAGCATTTCCCATGTACAGATCCACAAAGCTCTCTGTGCACAACTTTTACTGCAACTACTCTGAACTAGTCAGTATGAAACTGCTGATAAAGGTTGTTGTGGATTCTCCAGATAAAGAGGAGAAGCAACTCTGTTTCTGAGGGGCGGCTGTTGTATTTGCAAATATGAATTTGAGGTTGAGGTTGTGTTGAGCATGAAAGGGATGACAAACAGCACACTCAGAGCTCTGTTGTGTGGAAGGCAATGCTTCATGGTTTTAAAATCATACTTCACACCATCATCATATTTAGCCAAAGCAGGAGGAAGGCCAGCGGCACGGTGGTGTGGTGGTTAGCACTGTCGCCTCACAGCAAGAAGGTCCTGGGTTCCTCCCACAGTCCAAAGACATGCTCTGGGGATTATGCTAATTGGTGACTAAATTGCCTGTAGGTGTTGCCTGAAGATGTGTGAATGGTTGTTGGTCTCGCTCGCCTGAAGTTGGCTGGGATTGAGTCCAGCCCCCCCCGTGACCCTGCGTGCAGGGTGAGCGGTTTGAAGATGGATGGATGGATGGAGGAGGAAGGCCACATAGACCAGAGAGAATAATAACGCCCCGCCCAGTCTGTGAATCAAACCCAGGAATGCTGCACCACGCACTTAAATGTACACATGTCATGTCACTTTTTGTCTTCCTCACGCTGTTTTTGCCTCCATTGGGTTTGTCCAGCTCCCAGGTGGAGGTGGAGATGCTGCATTCTGCTGGGATGAAGGGCGCCACCCTGCCGGTCTGAAGAGCACCCAGAAGCGACGTCTTCCCCTGTCTCGGTGGACCAATCAGAAGCATCTTTAGCAGCTTAAAAGGCTCTGCCTTTCGAAGCTGTGCCCGGAGGAAAGCCAAAACAGACGTAGGACCTGAAAATAGACAGGTACCAAGTACGGTTTTTGTGGTGTTGGAAAATAAAGAAAGGAGTTGCAACATACTTGAATGTCTCCATTCCATACTACTTTATGCCCATTGCACATTCTTTACGTTCATCTTCATTAATTGTTTATTCTGTAAAACTGGTTACTGGTTAAGGGGATTTTGAAAAGATCCTGGAGGGCACGTACCTTCTTTTCGTACTACCTGGGGGACATTAGTGATGTTGAGGTCTTCAATGTCTAGTTGCCACAGGTTGGCGAGTTGACTGAGCTCCGGTGGAAGCTCCCGGATTCCAGGATTACTGTCCCCAGAGCAGGTAAAACAACACGGGTCAACGAAGAACATGAAAGGCATGGCGAGTCAACACAACTACCAAATTTGAAGCTAGATAAAGCAACATCAAGGACATCATCATAAACATCATCAACGTCATGGATGTTTCATCATTGCCAATTTTATTGAATGGAACATCCTGATGGTGGAGAATTTCACTAAGCTCACAAGGATTTTTTGGCAACCACAGCATGCTGCAGATCCACAACCGGCCAAACAATCCAACCATTGGGTGCGTGAGAGTACAGCGGTCTGCCGCTTGTGTTAAACAGCTGCAAACAGCTGTAGCAGGTCGTGCCCAGGGACAGAATCCAAACCATTTTACTTTATTAACCAATGTATGCCTATTCCTGCTGGGAGGAATACTTCAAGTCGAGCTAGAATGTTTTGGAAAAGCAGCTGTGACATTCTTGTCCTGTATGTCAGACATTAAAACATTATTTTATCAAAGAAGGGAAAAATTCACAATCTGAGTGCTGGAGGTCAGACGGAACGGTCTATAAATGTAATTTAATTAGGTAGAGGTGTTCTAAGGTATAAAGAGTAACGCCGCTGCCATATTTGGCCCCAGATATAGGGGCTCAGTCAGCGCTCCACTAGTCACCTCCAACAGAACACTTTGTTTAGCCCTAAACAAATAAACTTTACCATATGAGTTCCTGGGAGACTCCTGATCCTGAATAGATTGATCGATTGATTGAGCCAACTGTTTGTCACAGGAACACCAGTTCCAGAGCTCACAGACCTTCTGTCCACCAAGGAAAACCATTATTTAAGTTTTTCCAACACAACCCCTTTGTGAGTTGATCGCTCGTGTCCTGACTAAACATGGGTTAAATCTAGAAAGATCACTGAAAGAGACACGCTGCCTACAGAAAATCTAACTGTGTCACAGAGCTGCAACTCTCAGACCCCAGCTGTCAATGAAAGAGATCACAAGTACACAGGTCAGGGGGCAATAAGTGGGCTGCAATAGGGGGGGGACCAGTGCAGGTGAATGCTGGACGGAGACGGACTCACTTGGAGAGGTAGAGCTCACCGAGGCTGTGCAGACCACACACGGATTTGGGTACACACTCCAGCTGATTGTCATTCAAGTAAAGCACTTCCAGTGAATCCCGTAGAATGATGGGAAACTCTATGGAACACACTGCCAAGAGGGTCACAGCTGGATACAGTTATTACAGTAACTGTGACGTGCCAAACATTTCCAGAGAAAAAGAAAGTAAGCAGACTCTTGGCACGATGCAGTTCCTTGGAAAGACCCTGAAACACTAACACTAATACAAAGAAGATATGCTGTTTCATCTAATCAAACTACATCTTGTCCGTTACATCAGAGGCTTGTGAGTCAGGAGTTTGTTAAGTGAACTCTGTAATAACCATATTTCACTAAAACGATCGTTTAAGCAACACAAAGGGACTTATTTAGCCCTGAAGTCAGACAGAGAGGACGGTCTTCCTCCCAACAAGCTCCATCTATCAGATCATATGGGGTCACAAAGCGTTGGTTTGATGGTCATTTAATGCAGCGACTGAATAATGTGAAGGTTTGACCCTTCAGTCCGACACCATCTAGTCCACATTAGGCATTATTTTCATGTAGGTAAAGCAGAACCACCTGGTTCAGGGTCCGGGTCCCTTCTGCTCCATGTATTCAAGAAGGCCAGCCTCCTGGATTTAGTCCCGTCCTCTGTTCTTAACACACAAGTTTTAATACAGAAACAATGAATAGAACTCTCAGAAGCATCTAGTGTGCAGGCTTCAGCTTAATATTCTCTAGAATGAATGAACAATAACAATAACAGTATTAATCATGAGGGACAAGAACTCTACTTAAAGCTTGATACACTAAATACTGTTCAGCACAAACATGCTGTATTGGATCCATCTAGTCTGCATGAACAACATTAATTACCAGTTCTCAAAAATGTTCTCAAAGCCCAACAGTGGTTTTATCTTTAAATATCACAAACTCTCTGTTAAAGCTGTCCCACTGACAGAATGTTGTGCACGTATGTAGTTTGCTACACTATGGAGAATCTGTCCAGCAACAGCTGGAGTGTCTCTACAGAGTGGACCTACTTTCCCAGCTGGTTCCTGGAAAGATCGAGGGTCCTGAGCTGAGAGCACTTCCACTTACTGGGGGCTGGGAGTGTCGCAATGTGATTCCCACACAATCTCAACAAGACTAGAGCCTAATGGAAGGAGGAGGATTAGACATTGTAAACCACACATATAAACTTCATCCGGCTCACTGGATAGCTGGCCAGCTCTCCTACAACGTGATGGGAACATATGCTCCTAAGTCCTCATTCTAAACTATTAATTCATTCAAATCAGACATACTTACTGTGCAGCTTTTATGGCATTAATAAATATATTGGTTGTCCAATTTGTCATTGTGCTAAATCCATTAGCATGTTTGTATATCTGAATGAGAAATAGTTTCATAGTATGTGTTATTCAGCTCCGGCCTGGTCGCCTAAAAATGGCACTCAATGTTTAATTTACATGACACGTTCTTTGAAATCATTCACATTATGAAGTATTATGTTTATTGTCATTATCATTATATTACTACCAGGTGCTTCTGAGCTGCAGAACAAGAATGAAGAGCAACCACACAGCAGCAGTGCCATCTGGAGGCTACTTGACACACTACATACATTCAGATGAAGGTTCGTACCTCCAGTTCAAAGATATAAAGAGGCAGCTCCTTCAGGCAGTTGTCAGAAAAGTCCACCTCCTGTAGCTGAGCCCTCCAGAAGATGGAGATATTATTTGGAAGTCTCTCGATCACATTGGAGGAAGCTTTGCACTGCTTCTGTGGAGGAAAAACATCAAGTTCCATGTTGCGTTATTACGTCATCGCATGACATACTTTCAGCTCACTGATGGATTTGTGTTTCTACTTGTAACACTAAATAAACAATCATCATCAACGCGATCTAGGTGTTAACTTGAGGTTTGGAATCTTTCAGTAGCCTTCTGGATAAACGTAAATAAAAAGATGATGCAGTGTGATTTAAAGTGGTGTGCTGCTATTATCTCCACCCAGAGAGGTTCATGTGATGGTTGTGTGTGCGGGTTTGTCAGTGAGTGTGCACCTCTGTGTGGCACCACACATCATCTTGCATTCTCTTTTCATCCTAACTTGATTTTTAGTTCAAATGAAGTGTCACTACGTCCTTTATCTCGGGAGGGGGGGCAGCCAGGATTCACTATGTGTCCCCCTGGGCAATCTCATGGCCCCTGGTGGACGTTTTCAGATTGCAGCATCTGTATATGTGATGTAAACTGCTTCTACACCAAGAAATGGACCTGATCAGACCTTCAAAACATCCATAATAAACCAAATGCAGTAATAAGCTCCCTATAGATGGCAAATACCGTTTACTATCAAACTAAAAACGTTTCATCAAATTACCTCGTTACTGGAATACCCAGAACACCAGAGACTGGAATCACCACTAATTTGATTAATGTAGAGCTCAAATAGCAGCAGATACGTGATCTTTATCAGCGCTGTTTCTTACCAGAGGACAAGCCCAAGGCTCAGGGAAGCTGCTCAGTGTGTTCCTGCACACGTTGAGGAAGCGCAGGGATTTCAAACAGTGCATGACTGAGGTGGGCAGACCGGTCAGACAGTTATCAGACACATCCAGCTCCTCCAGCTTACGGAGACCTATCCAGTTAGTAGCTGACACAGAGGAAATAAAGAACACAGACCAAGTCAAAATGCACTAGTAACCAAAGAACAGAGCTGTTACTCTAAATATGCTTGAATCCATTTTTTATATAATGGTAATAAATGACACCCTGTATTTATACGACATGAATTGAAGAAATTACTGAAGTAAACACCTCTTTAAATTAATTCACAATATATCCACAGTGTTAATAGATGATGACATTCTCTTCAATGTGAGGATGTGCAACTCTCTCTGCTGCAGTTTACAATCATGTCTCTCCCAAAATGTCATCACCTCATCCCTATATTCAGTCATTTGTGTGAAGTTGTCATAATGGAAACGGATCCTCAACAGCAAAATTATCAACAGCACAAAACACTGTAGTTTCCTTTTTGGAATCGTTCTAAAAAAATGCTGTTTCATAAGCTGATCACAGAGTTAAATATTGAGACCTGTTGCTTTTAGAGACTACAGGCTGGGTGATTTCAAACGCCCTGGCAGCTGGCTTTCAGCGTGAGTTTAAGTCAAAAGCATCACACTGAAAAACAGCTCTGATGCTCAAGTCTTCCCCTTGCCATACTCAGACAATTTTCAATCACATATTTGTATGGATTGGCACTTCAGAAGAAGTAGGAAAATGGCAGAAACTGTCCTCCCAAAGACATTTTCTTTCCAGTACGAGTTTTTTGCATTTGTAGCAGATAATGATGCACTATGTGGGATATAGAAATGTCTTTACCGGGCAGATTACAAACATACAGATTTCCAAACAAACAAAGGCATGTTGAATTGCTCCAAAGCTGTTGATAAAGCGCACATTTTTTTTAGTTTAGTCCTAAAAAAGTTGACAATCAAATGGTGTAACAGCTCTTGAGCCAACTGTGTCCAAATAACCTTGACATGTGTTGATACAATATAATAAGGTAATAATCTTCCTACATACAAACAACAGATATTAGTTGTGTTGGAACGTACTGGAGGGGATGTCAAACAGGACTGTGAGCTGGTTCTTTGCAGCAGAAAGTCTCTGGATGTTTGTCAGATGGAGGAGTCCGGGTGGCAGACAGGTGAGCCGGTTCTGAGAGAAATTTATCTCCTGTAAACTGAAGCAGAGGAGAGAGATGGAATCACATCCGGGAATGAGTCATTTCATCAGCCTTCGCCCTTCACCCATTAAAAGGCTTCAATGAGAGAATACTCCAAACACTGTCATTTTGAGAAATAAACTTGTTTGCCCTCTTAGCCAAAGTGAGAGGAGATCAAGTCTCGTTTAATGTCTGTGTCCAGGAACAATGTTTACTTCATCAACCTGGATCATATAGATATCAAAGCTGAATTTGCCTTCTCAGAACTAAAAAGTAACTAGATATCAGCCTCCATCTTTATTCAGCCTGATCCCTCTTGTCAGTTTATTGTGGAGGTTGATGCTTGAGACAGTGGAGTTGTGGAGCCGTCCTCTCGAAGCGCTTCAACTCTGACGAGAATCATTGTGCCTTCGTCCACCATCGTCTCTCCCTGCTGGGCATCATTTTTCGTCCGGTTTAACTTTACACTATACACAACCATCGCTCTGGTTTCCCAAATGTTACGTCCACTTCCTATTCCTAGACGTTGCTTGTCCCACGTCAGTCTAGACTTGATTGTCACTTGATTACCACCATCACAGGGTAACGCAGTCGTACTCACCATTGTTAACCAGTTCTCTAACACAGTTTTTCCCAGATTTCCAATGAAACATCTACATAGGCGTAAAGAAGACCATTTTCAACAACCGTTAGTCCTGCAAAACACCAGTGTCAATGTCGACAGTGAAAAGGTGACTCTGTAATGCTGACCCTTTAGCCTAGTCAATAAAAAAGAGGTTAAGATGGACAAAAAAACACACCCATTGGACAGATGAAAAAAAGCGCTATAGACCAACAAATCAAAATTTGAGTTTTTGTTGCACTTCATAACAAAGATGAAGTACACTGACCAGCTGTTGTTGTACCATATGTACCTTGAGCAGATGACCTCCTGGGAGTTTTGAGCAGCTGGAAGCTCTCGCAGCTGATTGTCAGATATATCTAGAGTCTGCAGGTGGATGAGACCCCAAGGCAACACAGAGGGCAGAGCCGCCAGGCTGTTGGATGATAGATCCAGGTGAGTGATCCGTGAGGAGACGTCCATGAACCAGTCTAGGTCCAACCAGGGCAGTTGCAGACCTCTCCAGCACACAGAGACAGCCTGGAGACACAGACGTCACGGTAGCATGATGAGGGGCCGAGAACCCCAGATTTAAGACTCCCTACAACACTTTTATTACATATATCATCCACACGCAAATCAGCTGTGTGACTTTGTGGGTAGGCAGGCTGCCGCTCCTCCTGCTGCTTTGTAATTTATATGGCTTTTATAGCATTTTTTTTAGCAATTTTTCAGCCCCATAACTCTGTAATACATCCCTGAACAGTGCTTTTGATCTGCACGCCTCAGTCAAATCATGTGAGGCCAATTTCTCCGCTCCCTGGTTCACACATACCCACAATTGACTACAGTAGTCAAGGAGGGCGATGACAAGAGTCTGAATCAGTAGCTGCGCCGCCCTTGGAGTGAGAAGAGGACGTGTTCTCCTGATGTTGTAGAGCGTGCATCTACAGGATCGTATTGTCGCTATAATGTTGTGAGTCAGGGAGAGTTGGCTGTCAAGTGTCACACCGAGGTTCCTGGCAGTCAAAGTGGGCGTTAGCACGGAGTTGCCAAAGTTAACAGTCAGGTCCTGTGTAGGAGAATCGTTTCTGGAAAGAGAAGTTGAGAGAGTTGGTGTAGAGAGAGAATAGGGGACCCAAGGTTCTGACACAGATCCTCTCCAGGTTACCCGATACGTGTGGCCATCAAGGTATGACGAGAGAAGGGAGAGAGCAGAGCAAGTTCCCAAAGGGAGGAAATAAGGATCTGGTGGTTTACTGTGTCAAATGCAGCAGAGAGGTCCAGAAGGATGAGGACAGAGGAGAGAGAGGCGGCTCTAGCAGTGTGGCGTTGCTCTGAGACAGCAAGGAGAGCAGTCTCTGTGGAACGGCCTTGAAGCCTGACTAGTGGGGTCAAGGGGGTTGTTACGGTGTAGGAGGAGAGTTGGTTAAAGATCACACGTTTTGGACAAAAAGGGAAGAAGAGAGACCGGTCTGTAGTTGCTTTTTTCAGATGGGTTGAGGGTACGTTTCTCCAGGTAACAGAGAAGAGTTAATGAGACAGGTGAGGAAAGGAAGAAGGTCAGGAATGATAGATTGTAGAAGATGTGATGGAATGGGGTCAAGAGGGCAGGTGGTCGGACGGGCAGAGGTTACTAAGGGAAGAAGAGTCGGTGGGACACAAGCAGTAGGAGGTGGGTTTAAGAAGGAGGAGCGTATGCCAGCTATTTTTTTGGTAAAGTAGTTGACAAAGTCTCCCGGAAGAAGGGGGGAGGAGGACCAGGGGGTTCGAGGAGGTTGGAGAAGATAGAAAAGAGTTGTTTGGGGTTAGAAAATGAAGGTTCAATTATGGATTGGTAGAAAGAGCTTTTGGCAGCAGATGGAAGCAGAAAAAGAGGAGAGATAAGATTAAAACGCAAGCAGCTCGTCAGGTTGTTTATATTTCCGACAGAGAGTCGAGAGAGGAGGAAAGAGTTGAGAGGAGAGTCTCTGTGGCAGCATTCAGATGTAAGAGTGAGAAAGTTGAGGGGAAGGCTGAAAGATCAGAGGATGCCAGGGAGGAGGGAGAGAGGGAGCGAATATTGAGACTGTTAAAGAGTCAGTCGATGGGGTCGTTGGTTATAGAGAGTGGGAGAGCGCAGGAGGTGGTCAGACACATAAAGTGGAGTTACAGAGATGTTAGTGGTAGAGCAGATTCTAGTGAAGATGTAGTCAAGGTGATTGCCGGCTTTGTGAGTAGGAGGAGAGTGCTGTCAGGATCCTGATGAGAGTCCTACTACTCTACACTCTATCTTAAGTCTTACATTGTTTTCAATTGGTTGTTTTCGCTGGCTATGTGCAGCATACTGTTCATTTAGAAAGTTAGGGTCAATTTAGAGTCAATTTGACCATAAATTAGGGTACGTTTAAGGGAGGGGCTACTTTATTACATTACATTACAGGTCATTTAGTTGACGCTTTTATCCAAAGCAACTTACATTGTAATTTTAACCCATGGCTGTTTTTTTACATTTTTAAAGGATGTAGTTAGCAGACCAATCACAGCCTTGTGCGTCGAAAGCGACGCAAGCCTAAAAAAATGGGTCGACGCACGCGAGGACGCAAGGAGGTGTGAAAAGGCACGCAAGGGGCTCTTGCGTCTACGTGTCCTTGCATCTCTCTGAAAACGCAGAAGCATAAACTAGGCTTTACATCTCTAAAGTTAAACTTTAGGAAAGTTCATTGTCACATTTTGGTATCTTAAAAAAGACTTCAATGGGTCTTAATCCGCGTCCACTTGTACTAAAGTCTTGTTTAACATCTGGTTGTAAAAAAAGGTTTTGTGATGGCCGACCCAAGGCTTCAGAGCGTCAGTTCACAAACCCCACATCCCTTGTTATATACAGTCAATGCTCTAAACACACTTTAAATATGAACCGCTGTGATATATGAAAGGTAATGCTACGACAGAACATCTATTGTTCTTCTTACCTCCTCTCCTGCGTTGGAGGTCTCCTGTAGTTTGAGTCTGAGGAGGTGTTTGCTGAAGGCCGGATGGTCCATCAGGGTGTATGAGGAGAATCCTGCTCCATTCTGCAGCAGGAAGTGAGCTATGTCCTCATTACCTGCAACACAAAACACATGTTCACACACAACATTGAGAGATGAACAGTTTCAGTCAGTGTCTTTCACCTGGACTGCTCAATATTGTATGCATGCATACGTGTGAGTTTGCTCAGATGTGTAAATATCAGTATGTATGTAACTGATTATGAGTAAATGAAGATGGCACACAACACAGTGAAAATATATAATATATCAGGCTAAAAACCCTTCTGCCTTAGCACATTATGTGAACAGTCTTTCTGGATTAGGTTTACTTTGATAAAATGAAGCAGAACAAAATTCGAGGAGGTTCAGTTTCCAAATAGCCATGTGGGTACATTTTGGCACCATCTGTGTAATTTCAATTTCTGATGAACCAAACTATAATTTCACTGGTATATTACTAATGGTGTTCAATAGTTCCAAATTGTTTGTCCTGCTGACTTCTATGATTCTTACTGGAGGCAATATTTCAGCCAATTATTGCTCGACTGTTCGACCCCTCCTACCGACAGAGCCAATATAATTGAGCTAAACTCAAATGGAGAAGAGCGAAACACACTCAACATTAGCTCCTCCCCAGAACATCACAAGTGAACTTTGAACGGGAGGGAACGATTTATCTGTAACACAGCATGTACGCTGAACATTTATCAGTGGAAAAATGGCGGGAATGCCCTTTTCTGCTTGAAGACGCCAAAGGTGAGACGCATTAATGATTGAAAGGGGATAACATGATTACACAAGTTTGTTTGCTGATATCTCAGCGATGGTCTGACTATGTCTGCTATCTGATATCTGAACCCCAGAGATGTTTTGAACAGAGTAAAACAAGAAAAGTCAAAGGGAAGTCTCTCTGCAGATGGACATAACACAAACTTCCAGCAGGTCTTAAAGAATAATGATCAGTCTACACATTGTTTTTAGGAAGTTCTTACTCACTGAGCCTTTAGCACTCAATAGATGACCCATCTTGACAGCAATAACTTGAAACTATGGACATTGTACAGATCAATTGACCATCCACAATGAGGAGATCGCACTGAATTTCAATAAAATGTTATTCAAACTAGATTTGACATGTTCATTCTTTTCCACTTTGTCAAACTCTACAATAAAGGCAAAGTCAGACATAAAGAGTAAAGCCTCAACATGTAAAATGTGATTCCAATTACCACGTTAAATTTACCCTAATACCTAAAGTATATATTCAGGGACTGACATTTATACTACTCCTCGCGAGCTGTATTCACACTCATGGTTTCCATCTGATTTACTCATTTAATCTCTTCCATCATGTCAGTGTTTCCGCTACCATTGTAAAATGGGAAACACTCTACGGGGAACCCTCTATCCTACTCAACGCCTGCTTCAATCACTCGCAGACGTTTTGGAGGGAGAGCGAGGAGGTCGTGTTGTGTGCTATCTTCATTTACTCATAATACAACCGCACTTCCCTGGTGTGGTTGTAGACACATGTATAACCCTCTGATACTAGACCAGAGTTGAGCGTATTCATCTAGTGTTACAATAACCAGTATCATTTCATTCCATGTGTCCGTCCGGGCTAATTGGTGGATCCAAACGTTATAAAGAATAAACACATGTGGGTATCTCCCTACCTGCCTCTGCCGCAGCGTACAGCGGCAGCCCAGTGATGACAGCGAACTGGTCGCTGTGGACGGCACAGTCTTTGGCATCAGCATTGTAGCTGAGGACCAGCTGCCGGACCACGTCCAGGTGACCCTGCTGGCAAGAACTAGCAAGCATCCAATTCAGCAAGTCTCTCCTCCGACATGGACCTGGGAGGGAGGCGGAGACCCAAAAGCCGTGATCACGCAGGCCGACTGTACTTTACGATCATACCCAGCGTCAGACTGAATATTTCCTCAACCATGATATCTACTTTCACACATGATCGGGTCTGTTTTATTAAGATATTGATAGCGGTGCCCCCATGATAAAAAATGTAAATATTTGTGTTTTTGAAATATTGAATGTACCCAGGCATAGTTGTAAAACATGATGTATGCTTTTCTTGCACACGCCTGTCTGTCATACACACGTCCTGTCTTCTTGCGTGTTTTGGCTGTGCTAGGGGCGCAATTGTTGATTAAATAAAAAATGTGTGACATATCATTCTGCTAATCAGCATCCTTAAATAAACCTGACGCAACATTGGTTCCGCCCAAACTTCTGCGTTCTCGTTGAGCAGGCGGATGAAATTCTGGAGGAAGAGACGACGCAGTAATTTAATACTGCTACTCATACTTTTCATTATATTTTATACTTAATTACGATTGAGGGTCACAAAAATAAGATTAGCAAAGTGGTATTTAGTGTTTTTGAAACTTTAATTATTTTGCATTAAATCAATCGTGGCTGTTTTTTGTTTTTCTTAGTTTCCCCCAGCCGCCAATACCAGCCCTATGAAACACGGGTTCATAGCGTTGGGCTGTGTTTAGCCCATTTCCAGGTTTCAACCACTCGTTTAAATCGCCAGAGCCTATTGGATCCGACTAGAGCTGGTGTGTCAAAACGGCAGATTACATTATTTGTAATATTTTCGTTGAAAATGGGAAAGGTAAGGGGCATTTATGATTGATACGATTCTGGTGCTTAGTCTTTTTTCCAATACCTTTGGCGAGGCCTGTCTGAGAGAAATGTTACACATATCGCCGTATTCAGCATTGAATGTGCTCACAATTTGCTGACTCCTTTTGAGTTGTTAGCCTGTGCAATATCTCTGTATTTTAGGAAAGACTTTAATCTGGTGTGGAAGCAATATTATATTAGTTTGAGATGACTACAGAATTTCTGGGTTGATCTAAGGGCGACAAACAGGAATGATGAAACAAAAGGCTGATGGCCTTTCCATGTACTGTGAATGTTGAAGTACCAGGTATAGAATCCAGCAGCTCTTTGACCAGGCTGGCGTGGCCGTAGTACGCTGCCAGAATGGCTGGGTGGCTGTGGGAGGGCTCCTGGGGGACAGGGATACAGGCTTCTTTCAGGAGGTAACACACACTCTGCAGGTCACCGTGCTGAGTGGCCAAACACAGGAGGCGCACCTGTGACAACACAATCACACACACGCATATACAACGTTATATATACATACATACATACATACATACATACATACATACATACATACATACATACATAGGATAGGTGGATAGGTTGACTTCCAAAAACGTGTGAGACCGAGAGCCAGAGAGGAAGAGAGAGAGAGAGAGAGAGAGAGAGAGAGAGAGAGAGAGAGAGAGAGAGAGAGATAACAATGTGCCAAGATGGACAGATGTTCTGGTGTGACGCTCAAATCAGATGATAGTAGTCAGATGATAAATTGACATAAAATTAATGAATTAGTCAGATTCTTCTGACAGTGCTGTATTTCTTGTCAGGCAGGAATTGATGGCAATAGATAGAAGAAATGAAACCTGCCAAATGTGTAGGTAAGGAGGGAGAAGTGGACCACATCTCTGCTGAAGAGCAGCCTTCTTAATGTGTTTGACACCATCAATTGTGTTCCATACAGTGATCAGGCCTATTCCACTACATTACAGGTTACATTACAGGTCATTTAGCTGACGCTTTTATCCAAAGCGACTTATATTGCATTTTTAACCCATGCCTTTTTACATTTTTGCCCCGGGAGCCATTAGGGGTTAGAAGTCTTGCTCAGGGACAATTCGACATGGGACATGGAGCAGCCGGGGCTCGAACCACCAACCACCCTCTCTACCCCTGCGCCACGTCGACCCCCACTACAGTTCTAATCCAGATTATGGCAAGAAGTAATCAACTGAGTAAAGAAACAACAGTCCATTCTTTACTTTAAGACTCAATCTGCAACATTTCAAGAACTTTGACTGTTCCCTCAAGTGCAGTCAAACACTCTGAAGGAAGGCCAAGAGCAAAAGGTCAAAAATATAAAACAGATTCCGGATTGTTGAGCCTTTTTTTGTTTCCCACATATCTCCATATGTGTTCCTTCATTGTTTTGATGTCTTCAATATTAATCTACTAAGTAGAAAAAATGAAGCGATTGACTTGTACTGTCAATCGCATAACGTAATCAAAATAAAAGCAGTGTTTCTACCATCATATCACCATTAGCCCAGTTTCCACTCCATATAACCCATACTGTCACACGTGGCCGTGACCAAGGGGCCGTCATGTTAAACTTGAGTGTGCTCACCCCGTTGATGCCAGGTATCCCTTCACTGCACTCCACACAGCAGGCTTGTTTGATCAGCTCCCTGGCAGCCTCTCCCTCTCCCTCCTCATATGCTGCTTGGATGTTCTCCAGAGTGGGAGAAGGAACCAGTGACGAGCAGAGTCCTGGACCCTCCTCCAGCGATGCCTTGGCTCCCATTTCCTCCCCAAGGCCTGGTAGAGCACAGACACCGATCAGTGCCAAATGGGAGTATTTGTGAGGAGTGGAGGGAACAATGCAATCACCAAAACACAAACACGTACAGCAGTCGTGTGTGTGTGTGTTATTATACAGCTTTGCAAAGTTATCACAGTGACATCATTTGATATTCATTCTCCGCAAACAACCAAAGTGCGTGGCATTGCACATAATAATTAAACTCGATTCAATTCATTTTATTTTGTAAAGCCCAAAATTGCAAATTACAAATTACAAAGAAATGTGTGGGCGGAACTGTCATTTACATTTCATTGTCTGTCATGCGTTTCCTCTTTGGGCTGTACTTCCTGCAGCACATTTCCAATGAATAATAAAGAGAGACTGACTGGCATTCTGAGGGTATGACAAATCCTGAGGGAGTGAAACGATTAACATGTGTGCACCTCCCATCCACCATCAATACTCCCCTGCCCTCACAGCATCTGTCTGGGAAGGTTAAAAGGAGAAGAAGGTAGAGGGAGGAGGCTGCCAACATTACTGGATTTCCCCTTTCATTTAGTGCGGCTGCTGTAAGGACTTCATGTTTGATCCGCCTCATGAGGCACCCAATACATCCAAAATACATCCAAATAGATGGTTCAATTAAAATCTACTATTTCATGACAAAACCTAAAATAAAAACCAGTGCAGTCACAGTGTGAATCACAACTAAACATACTTAATTGAATAGAGCCTCAACGTGAGGGGACCCGACAGTCTGGCGTACCCTCGTCTAGCCTGATCAAATCGCAGAGGAGCTGAGAGCCTCCACGCGTCATCAGCTCAGCCGCCAATGTCTCCATACTTCTGCAAACCACATCCCCTTCCATCTTTCCTGATTCCTGGAGGAGAAGCTGGTTCATCCGTCAAGCGTAGCCGGTTGCTAGACAACCGCAGCGGCGGAGGAAAAGCTAATGAGGGAAGTAGGAAATCCCCCTATAAGTCAGACCATCCCATTTTGGCAACAGCTTGGTTCAGAGTAGCCCACGTAGACCAGCCAAATGAGAACCGGCTCATCCTGCCGGATGACTTTGCTATTGTAAGAATTACAAAAAGAAATTGCATTTCTATAAAAGTAGCTGCTATTCCTAATCAGTCTCTTGGGGGTCGCATCGTGTGAAAACTTGGTAGGGCTAAGTAGAGATTCCTGCTTACTAAGGGACACATAACATTTCAGTGAAAACCCTGGCTGACTCCTATCAGTGCAAGTCAAAGTAAGGTAATTCATGTTTTATACCGATTTGTTTTGCCTTATGGTATGCAGCGTTGTTGTTCCATTACCGCCATTACTTTTATATTTGAGTCGGTCGATTGAAGAGTAAGCTTGCGAGCCGAAATATTGTGGGCACCCCTGCGTTAGACCTTTTCCATCACCTTGTCACTTCAGGCAGCAGCGCAGGTATTCACGTCTACGTAGCGGTTATGAATGAGCTATAATTATACATTCATGAACAGGTTGGCAGTTGTGCCCTATAGGTGGACCCTATTCACTAACGATGTGACTTGAAAATGTGACTTGTGAAGGCTAATTTTGGTTGGTATATTAAATGAAATCCCAAATAAATTCCAAGAACTGTATTAATTTCATCAGTAAGACCAGCTAACATTGTGACATCATCGAGTCATCGTCGGAGTCTATTCCCAGGAGTCCATTCTCCTGAGAACTTGAGTCTGTTCGTTGCGTTCTAGGTATTGAGAAAAGGCTATGATTTGTGGCTACTCAGTCCTCTCAGACGATATCTTTTGCTTGTAAAATGACTTAATCCATTGATTATCAAATAAAGTTGTTGATGTATTTACTGGCAGACTAGATAGGTCTGTCAGAAAATGACTTTTGTTGGAAGATATTTTTAAGAAATTGGGATAAATGATACTACTTTTATTAGGGCTGGGCAAGTTAACGCGCTATTATCACGCTGATTCATAAATTTTTGCATACTATTATCTAATCCGCGTCAAAGAAGTTTTTTGTAGCATTGTCATCCTGAAAGTTGTTCACTGGCTCTGAATGCACATACAGACAAACCACAGGTCACAGGAGCGGGGATGTTGCTCAGCTATGTGTGCGTGTGCACAGGTCAGTGTGTGCCCATCACGCCGTGTGCAGAAAGCATTGCAAACATAAAAGCGTGTCTGCTCGTCGCCTTTGCTCTCTGTTTAGAGATAATTATGTTGAATGAATACGTTATTTAAAAACTTCAAACCCAAACAGGAGTTACAGTTATATCTAATCAGTTGGGGCGACCGTGGCGCATGGAGTCGAGAGGGTGCACCACTAACTGCAAGGTTGATGGGTTGAACCCCGGCTCCCCCATGTCCTGTGTCAAAGTGTCCCTCAGCAAGACACCTAACCCCCAACTGCTCCTTGGGTGCCTTCAATTTGCCTTCTTCTTCTTCTTCTTAAATGTAGAAGATGGATTTTGACATTTGGATTATGTGAGGGGGAAACGGAGAGAGGATGAGGAAGTGTGTGGGATGGATATTTGAATTCATATATAGATTTTTTTTTTGTACATTATCAGTGTGTTTCCGGTAAATTTCTGGAAACTTTGAATGTGAAGTTAAGCGCAGGAATTTTCAAAATGTCTTTTTTGTAAAAGTTTTGTTGTTGTTTTTGTGAAAGCGTATAACAGGGATTTTAAATGTAGTTGAGAACAAGACTATGCAAGCTCAGCTCAGCTGGAAACGTTGTCGGCCAGAAATGTATACGGACATAAATCTTTGTGTTATTTTGAACGTCTTTCTCATATTGAATACCAGTAAACTGAAGCATGTTCATTTTATTATTTATTATTTATTTTATTAAGCCTCAGTATTAAGTTTATTTGTATCTAGTAGGCCAACCTTTTACAACACACATGTCCACATTAATATCCACCATCACTTCCAGAGTTTTCAATATTTCTTTACATTATAATTATCCACTGATCTCTGCACACGGGGGAGTTCCGTCCGGACGGGCAAAAACTGAAACCTGCTCGCACACGTCAGCATGCTCCCACCAGCGGACACAGAGCTCGCGTCGGAAAAAAGCAGGTGTTATATTCATTTTACAGGCACTCCAGGCAGCAGCGCTTAACCCTATTAACTATATAATAAAATAACACAATAGACAAATCAACACGTCACTGCAGATGTAAAAACACAAAAGCAGTTCACTTACCAAATGCTGTTCACTATTTATACTATTGACTTACTGAATACTAAGATGTGCTGGCTCGGTTTCCCTGTGACAGATGCCATGCTGGCCCACTAACCAATCAGAGCACATGTTACTGCTGCGCTGTATGTTAATGCAGACGCTCTTACGAGGCTACCGCCGTACTACTGGCCCGTCAAAGAACACAACCAACATGTCAAACCAAAAATGTGATTGGTTGAAGACTGATAATCGACAATGTGGTTCTAATGTCCAAAGTCTCCCTAGAGGACCTCGTAGAGACACGGGCGCTGCATCTAATTGGATAAAAGTTCTCTTTAAGCACCAAAGCAGAGAAAGAGATGGAGACATGCGTGGAGCAATGAGGAAATAAGCTAAAGGGAAATATAATTACAATACAAGTTAGGAATTATGAAATAGCGATAAGCAGCAGAGAAGGCTAAGCTATCCCTGCCGGCCCACCACCTCAGTGTCAGCATTCCATCGGAATGTATTGACTGTTGAAAAGCATCGTGGAGCAACATTTGGACCATGTACCACTAAAGTCCTCTCTTTCACCCCAGTGTAATACAGCCATGCATGCTTCAGTGAAACGAGTATCACAATCCGCTTAATGTATTGTCATAAACAACTACTGCTGTAATAATGAGCCCTCCAGTCAAACAGCTGATTCATCACCAAGACGTGCAGAAGACACAGACAGATTGGATGTCAGTAAACTGATAGCAGAGTCCGAGTAGTCTAACATGTGCAGCATAGAAACAAGGCTCCAGTCTGCTCCTCTCTCCGACTAACCTGCTCAAGGCCAAGCAGCAGATCCTCCTCTTCCTCCAGCCTCTGCCTCATTTAAAGCTGAGTGTTTTCTAATCATGGCTTCCCTTCAGCTGCTGCGTGCCTTCCACCAAGCCGTGTTCCCTGAGTGATCTACCTCCTCACTCACCCAGTGACAGGCTGACAAGTGGGAGGATGGAGGAGGCAGGCAGGCAGGGGGGGAGGGAGGGAGAGGTGTGGAGCAGGAGGAGGGAGCGGGAATGATGCTCCTTTGTTTAAGAACCACGCAGCCTCGGAGTTTCCTGTATCGCTCTGGCTCACACCGGCTCTGCACTAATCCACTGTAATCTCACTCTGAATCCGTCTCCTTCTGAACATACAAATGTCTATAAACAATATATGGCTCCTTTCAATTTAACCTTTTAGGAAATGTTACTCCAACAGGAGTAAATTGTGCATCAGTCTGGCACCATTGGGTATTTGGGTGTGTTTAAAACAGTAAAAGGATTACAATGGAACAGAGGGCAATAGGATATGCCTGTGATAGCTGCGACACACACACACACACACACACACACAAAGTAGATTCTAGAGTCCTTGTGGGTTTGTCCGTGCAGGTAGAAAATCCCTAGACTTATCCAGTGATTTCCATCATGCATACAGACTGCAGTTCCCATAAACCAATCAGCGTCTGAGTGAGTGTAACATGAGGCTTGTGAGTCGGCCAACCTGCTTTTACCATTCAGATAGACTGCAGGGTGGATTACTGTGTCATTCTTAATGGGGTGTTGTTTACATACTGCAACATTTTGATTTTGCAGGATAGTCCCCACTAGTGCAAGGACACTTCCAATACTAACTACTCGTAATCATACATGTATTAAATACAAAAAACTGAAGAAAGACAGAATTGATTCCATTCCATGATAACATTTCAGAAAGTAGGGACAATGTCCCTGATTTACATTAGCAGGGCTTATCCCACATTTCCAACAAAAACATTTCACATCACAAGAAATGTTGGCGAGACAGCGAGATGCTCCTTGTGGCTCTGGCGTGTGGCGAGTGTGTGGCGGCCGTCAGTCAGTGTGGTGGCAGAGGAGAGGGAGAGTTGGAGCCAATGTGGATCCCATTTGTTGGAAAACCAGCAAAATCAAACTCAAATGAAATGAATGACAAACACAAATGTACACCGTGGAAACTCTAAGGATGTATACAGAGAACGGGTGCTTAGGGTTCTGATCTAGAATCATGAAACTGATTTACAGCAGCTGACCTGTAAAAACAGTACGGGCATCTTTGCCTTGTTGAAAAGGTGTTTACAGATCCAGCCCAACCCTATAAAGCGGTTTCCTTATGAATATACTTCTGCCTGTGGGACTTTACCACCATGGTACCCTGGACGAACTGGACAAATATATGTTCAAATCAAACGTAAGGCGATCTGAAGCCAAAGACGTCAACCATCATCCATCACTAACTAACTTCCGTGCTGACACCTACTGTTGTTTTAGTCTTTCTGTCGGAGCAGAACTTCCGCTGCTTTCAGCACAGTCTCGTTCCTACAGTTAGACAGCAACAGATACGGCCTGTGGTTCTCAAACAGTCAGTTTCACTTCTCCTTTTGCTAAAGTTAAGCAGCGCTGAAATGGTGAACATGGCAATGCTTCCAATGTCAGAAAACAACAAGTGTGTGATAACTCACTGCGTTGCTGCTCCATGCTGCCGGGAGCGTCTCCAGAGTCCCGGGGAAGGTCGACAGACCAGTACGACATTCCGACTGGAGTTACTCGCGAACCAGTATGTGAGGAGGCCGGCGGCTGTCTCTCTGCAAGACAAAGCAACAGTCATGAAGAACAAACAGACATATCTGAAATAAGTCCAAACACAACTAAATTCATTACTATTGGAAGGAATGTTTGAGGGTATCTGTTGGATTGGATTGGTATTCATGAATATCCCTCTGACCAAAATATAAAAACTACATTTGAAATATCATCATATCCAACAAAACAACATAACAAACGGAGTGTGCAATCCTCTGTGTTATTAGAGAAAGAGAAATATCATGGACACAGCTTCCCCGCCAAAAAAAAGGTCTAAATTAACGCAGTATTGTCCCAGCGGTTACATTATGAGCTAGTGAGGCAAAGACATACCCAGCGTGACAGGTGTGCAAGAAAACACGTTACACTGTACGATCGCGAGATTATGTTTGCGATACGCTGCAATTCTCAGAAACACTTTATAACTGATATGTTTACATGGAGAGATTTGAGGAAAACAGTAGATGGGATTTCCCCAAAAGCATCTGGGATGTTCCAGGCGCTGTGATAAAGGAAAATACAGATGAACTCTTCTGGTTTCATAAAACCAGCCTTGTTTACGCTCTAAACTAGGATAAAAAACATCTGAGTTTGGATGTAATACTGAATCAGGACGAACACTCACACGTCTCCGGGTTTTTACTGCGATGACATGATTAGTTGGACGGACTCTTCCATAATCGCATTGTAGCGTTCTGTCAGAGGGGAAAGGTGAGGATACCAGGAGTTAACATTCTGCTATTGTATCTGTGCTTATGTCTTACTACAAACTAATAAGCATGTTTGCTGATATTTAATACCCTGCTGTTGTTTTGGTTATTGGTCAGTGTTGAACTACTTTGCCTCGGAATTGAAACATTATTTTTAGAATGCATTTCACCGTAGCAACAACAGCCTGATCTCAGCCCAAAGAGCGCATTCCTGTTCTTCTGTCACATGCTCCACTGGTATTCACGTCTCCGTAGCGGCTATACATGAGATATAACAGCCGGTGACATATTCGCTGGTTTGAGATTCATGACTTCATGTTTTGTGTGCAGGCTTGTTATTGTCGAACATTGTGCATTAAAACTAACAATGTTTTAATTAAAGGACATGAGGAGACCGTCATCTAGACTCTAAACCGGCAGCAGGACTCGGCTTCAAATGGACGCAATTGTAATAAATAAATAAATATTTTCCAAATATGAATTATTCATTATTTGTCTGTAAGATGTTTCATGGGTGGTCAGCTGCTTGCTATAAATGATCAATGATAAACCTGAAATACTATGAGGTTTATTACTAAATATGTCACCATCTAACTGTAGCATAAATTATCACTTTATTTAAGAAATCAGGAAACATTTATTGCCAAAATATGTCAAACATACAAGGAATTTGTCTTGGCGGTTGGTGCGTGACAGTAGACAGTGTAACAATAGACAACAAGACAGCAGTGCACAAGTAATAAAATAAAGTAAAATGAAATGCTAATGCAATGGGTTAGTAGAATAAGGCTATGGGTTAGTATAAAACAAGAGAATAAAGTTAAACATTTAAAATATTAAAAAAAGTTAAAAAATATTAAGCATAAAGTGCACTAACGAACAAGTAACAAAGTGACGAGTGACGACAAAGTGAAAAATTGCATTTAAAGTGACATGTGCAGTGTGAAGGGGAGTGACCGGTGGAATGTTATAGTCAGTCAGTGGGGGACCGGCTCTGTTGATGAGCCCGACTGCCGACGGGAAGAAACTGTTGGCGGGAGGTCTTAGTCCTGATGGACCTCAGCCTCCTGCCAGATGGAAGGGGCACAAACAGTTTTTGTCCGGGGTGAGAGGGGTCGGCCACAATCTTTTTAGCACGCTTCAGAGACCTGGAAACGAACAAGTCCTGCAGGGACGGCAGATTGCAGCCGATCACCCTCTCTGCAGAGCGGATGACACGCTGCAGCCTGCCCTTGTCCTTGGCTGTGGCTGCAGCGTACCAGACGGTGATGGAGGAGCAGAGGATGGACTCGATGATGGCCGTGTAGAAGTGGACCATCATCATCTTTGGCAGGTTGAATTTCTTCAGCTGCCTCAGGAAGAACAACCTCTGCTGAGCCTTCTTGGTGATGGAGCTGATGTTCAGCTCCCATCTGAGGTCCTGGGTGATGATGGAGCCCAGGAAACGGAAGGAATCCACAATAGTGATGGGGGAGTCACACAGGGTGATGGGGGAGGGTGGGGCTCTGCTCCTCCGGAAATCCACAACCATCTCCACTGTCTTTAGAGCGTTGAGCTCCAGGTTGTTCTGACTGCACCACGACACCAGATGGTCAGACTCCCACCTGTAGGCGGACTCATCACCACCAGAGATTAGTCCAATGAGGGTGGTGTCATCCGCAAACTTCAGGAGCTTGACGGACTGGTGGCTGGAGGTGCAGCTGTTGGTGTACAGAGAGAAGAGCAGAGGGGAAAGAACGCGGCTTTGGGGGGAACCGGTGCTGATGGTCCGAGAGGCTGAGACATGTTTCCCCAGCTTCACGTGCTCCTTCCTGTCAGACAGGAAGTCTGTGATCCACTTGCAGGTGGAGTCGGGCACGTGCAGCTGGGAGAGTTTGTCCTGCAGCAGAGACGGGATGATGGTGTTGAAGGCAGAGCTGAAGCCCACAAACAGGATCCTGGCGTAGGTTCCTGGGGAGTCCAGATGCTGGAGGATGTAGTGGAGGGCCATGTTGACAGCATCGTCCACAGACCTGTTGGCTCTGTAGGCGAACTGCAGGGGGTCGGTGAGGGGGTCGGTGAGGGACTTCAGGTGGGTCAGGATTAGCCGTTCAAAAGACTTCATGACTACAGAGGTCAGGGCAACAGGCCTAGCATAACACAGATAAGTTTCGGGTACATGTAAATAAAATTTTTGTATATTTGTGCATTTAAATGGACGAGGACAACCACACTGATCATTGTCCTCTTGATGTTTGAGTAAGAAGAATACTGTGGGTGTGGATGTGGAATGTAGCTCCATCCATTCAAATATGAACGTATTAATTATTTTCTAGTTGCTATATGAAACCCTCTCTGTACTTTATGAAACCTTCATGAGGATAATGCAGTGTGATGTAATACAACAGCCCTGAATTAGACATACACCTGTCAGTGTAATCCAGTAAATTTCAGCAGCACCACAAACTAAAGCTGCTCCTCTTCTTTGGAAAGATGTCTGATCTGATCCATTAAGGTAGTTTGGCTAATTATTTTATTTATTTGTATGCATTGGTTTTAAATGAAAACAAAACAAAAGCTTGATAGTAAAATACTGTCAAAACAGTCAAGAAATGTATTCAAATGTATTAGAAAGACAAGCTGACGTGGTGACATCAGGTCAGATGCTGTTACAATTGCAGAATGGACTCAGTCTTATTAGGTATTGGTGTTGAGAAAGGAACACAGACTTCTCTACCAAAGGAGTCGCCCTCTGATGGCAAAGATGGAAAAGAATGCAGCCAACACATTTGTCTAAACTGGGGATTGACGCCTTCTACGGAACCCAACGCAAATACAAAATGGACTGTTCTCTTTTCTAGTGGTCCAACCTCTCAAAGCACTTTTGACACTTCATGCCATTCACCCATTTAGTACAGATGATGACAGGAGCCACCCGACCATCAGCAGCATTCACAGTGGAAATGTAGAATGTGCTCCAATAATAGTCAGCTAAATATGATGTGTTAAGTCTACGTGAGTTTATTCAGTTTATTGTTCACCCCGCACAAGCAGGTGCTTTTGCGGTGGGTTTATAGTGTGTGATTATAGTGTGTGATTATAGTGTGTGCGTATGCACACAGCTTAGTGTGCCAACATAACAAGTGGACATGAGAACGAGTGTCCGTCTCAGCTCTTGATTCATAACAGACTCTCAAATACAGCAGCTTCCTCTCTGACACGCGTTTAAAACTAGTGTATCTGGATCAGAACAACACGAGAGATGACTTCCGGTGGACTAAACTAGCACACAAAGGCATTCGAGCTGAACAAGACGTGTTTTTCCCTGCTCTGATTTTTGGATGGATTTTCCCTGATGACGTAACTAATTTAGCAGCCCCGCGGATGGCTTGGCGCACTGGGGCCCGGGGCGGGGTCCTGCAGGGGGCCCGCAGGGGGGCCGGGGCCTGAGAGCCGACTCACCACATGGCGCAGCGGGAGTCCAGCACGGGGTCCCGGGAGGCTTCTTCCGGTCCGACTCCACGACGGCGTTCAGCTGGACTTCCTGATTCCACGATGCAAACTTTCTGAACTCCGTGCGCACGCAGTGTCAAGTCACACTGGACGAAGGAGGAATTTCCGGTGAAGATTTTCAAAATAACAGCCTACTCATTTAGATTCCAGATTAGTAGGTGTTATTTTGAAAATCTGAATATTAACAACAACAAAAAAACTTGAAAATAGAAAGTAACGATGGGTGAAGTAATGCCTTCATGTGGAGTGTGGTTTGATCTGTATCCCTTAAATAAAACCATGAGATCAAAATGAATGAAATGTCCTTCGATCCTTAGGTTTGTGTGCAAAAATCATACTCATAATCATGTATTAAAGAAACATTGCTGTCCGGATGAAAGAATGACCTACAATCTGCATTATAATTTCTTTATTCTGAATTTCTATTTAAATACAAAACTAAAAATGCAGAGACTTGTTTCCCATGTGTGATAATAAACAACACTCAGAATATACCTGTTCCAGAGATAAAATGTGAGATTAACTGGTAATATATAGGTTGCAGCATTTAAAAGGAAAAGGCATATATCCACAGAACATCCATATTCTATCACAGTTAGAAATACAAAATGAAGGCAAAAATGACAAAAAGAAAGAGCATTTTTTTCTCATTTGATGAGATTTCAACTAAATACTTCCGCAAAGCCTTTTCAATTGATAACAAGTCACTATGTTTTCAGCATTAATGTATCTAATGTGAATAATCTCTCTTAAGAGCTGAACTAGACAGGCAAACCAATGTATCATTATAATCACTGGAGTACTCTTTAAATCCTCTTTGGAGAGGTACGAGAATGTCCTCTCATCTCCATCAGACTCTTTAAGTTCTGCTTAGTAGCCCAGTGGAAGGAATACAGACTATTTAAGAACCACATGAAAGTGTATAATTGATGGTAGAAACGAGGTCCAAAGACTGGACCTTCTCAGAGCATCCAACCACATCTCACATGCTTCATCATCAAATGACGTTTCTTCAGTTTTCATGGGGATGCCTTTCCTCATATGTAATGTCAGTTCTTTCATAATAAGTGATTGTATGTGTGAAGAAGATCATCCACATATTTTTTCAAAGATTTGGCATCTAAGTCACTCAAAGGTTATCATGAAAAACATTACACAGCCTTCAACAAGTAGCAACGTTGTTGATTGTTTTCTGAAGAACCTGATGCGCAGTGTGGGAGCTCTGGCTTTTGGAACGAGGTGTGTTTATACGCTTCCTTTCTGTAGCTGCGTCTGATAAGTCTGTCCCAAGTCCCAAGTTAGTCCCAGTTGCCATCTTTCCACATATCCAAAACTAAGGTTATGATGACAACTAAACCGTCTTTAGGACAAGTGAGCAACTCCCTCCATCTGCTGAGGAAGGCCACCAGATGTAGTGGAAAACCCTACAAATGCCTTATTGAGGGTCAACAAACTGTATCTCAGCTCTTTAATCATTTAGTTTTTATGTTTTAACAAAAGCACTAATTCTATCATAAACTGCAATTTGCCTTTTTTAATCTAAGTAAATATTGATTTGTTATTAGAAACCTTATATGTTGAATTGTATGTCTGGGCTTTATGGGGTAAGCCATTACTCATTTTGTTGTTACTGTACCAAGTGAACACAGTCTCTATTTCCCCCATAATTACTGTAGCAATAAATCACATATACAGTACACTTTTGAGAACTTCTGAGTAAATTATTATAAACACACAAACCTGTATTAGCCGTTTTGAGACATTACTGAAGTTAAAAACTCTGCTCACCTCGTGCAAACAAAAGGTGAACAAACACGGCCTCTTTGTGGGCTCTGATACACGGTTTAGACTAACTCATATATTGGACTAAGCCTAATAGTAACATCATGAGCAGGACTCAACACAAAGGACTGTGTGGGTCGGAGACAATTGTGATGGGATGGACATCTGCGCACCTTCTTCTCACAGGGTTTCACTGAGCTTGATAGTCACTGCTTTCACCTCCGAGTACTCAGCCAGAGCATACTCTCCCCTGATGGGACAGAGACAGCAGGTGAGGCAGGCTGAGGAAGACATAGTTAAAACCTGATGAGAAGGGTCGGCTCTCACAGCTCTCGTCCGTTGCCTGACATCTTGTAACCTCCGAAGGGAGTTTGGGCATGAAGGGCGTTGTAGCAGTTTATCCTTGGAAGAGACAGAGAAAAGGAACAAGGGTCTGATTTTATTTGTTGTCCATGCTTTTGTTTGTTAAAGCTACTATGGGGAACTTTATTTTGATGTTTATTGCGGTGGTTGAGTTTAAAAGCTCCAGAGTCCTTTTAAAAATCTCTTTTCTGCAAAAACTCTTTTCTGCAGCAGTCTGAGTCTGTCGCACTCGCTCACTGCATCAGGACTAAACTGAGACTCGTTAACATCAGACCTTCTGGGGGGCAGCGCTTACTACGACTTCATCTGCTCATGCCTGCCTTTTTGAATGCGTAAAATGTAGAAACATGCGTTTGAATGTAGAAACAACATATTATTCTTAATGAATGATAAACCAGGGAAACAAAATGCCTGTCAGAATGAGTCCCTGTGGTGTCGAGACCTACCAGACGGTGCCAGTCTCCAGGGCTGCAGACACAGACAGAGCTCTGTCCATACTTCTTGTGAAGATGGCTGACACCAGGCCGTACTGCGAGCGGTTTGCTCTCTCTATGGCCTCCTGCTGCCTTTTAAAGCTGAATATACACTGTACCGGACCAAAGATCTGAGGGGAAAGATATCAGTGAAGACCAGTCACATGCACAGTGACGCTGTGCAATTAATAGACTCTGGTTGCCGTCTTCTCTGACTTACGTTCATATAAATAGAAAAACATAAATGTGAAATACAAACAGAGGAAATTTAGCTGGACTAGTTAAAAAAAGATCTATGGAAAATATTGTTCAGTCAAAATGAAATATGACTTCTTCGCGAATGTGTTTCCATTATTACTTCCATAATTTCTTAACCACATAGAGGAGCCCATGATACGAATCTCAAGAAAACAAATGTGCCGGTTTTAATATTGGGGATAAAAAATATATTTTGAAAAATGACCGGTTTTAACTCCCAATTACATGCGCTTGTCACTTTTGGAATCGCTTTGAGTGGTCAGAAGGAGAGAAAAGCACTATCCAAGTACAGTCCATTACCATGTTTCCATCCAAGCGGTTTTAGGAGCATGTTTGTGAGCGGGAGAACTAGATGGAGGCGACAACATTTTTACAATATTGTTTGAATAGTTTCTCCCGCTGCTCGCAATCTATCCTTGTGGTACTGGAACCAAGGCTAGTGAGCTACCATTGACTCACTGAGCAACGTCGGCCAAGTGGATGGAGCAAGCAACGGCGTGTCTTTTTGTAACCAGGAGGGAGGAGGTGCGCACAACCAAAGTACGAATGAGTCTTTCTTAGGCGACCGAAATGTTCTAATTCAGTTTGAAGAAGTGAAAACAGACTCTGAACGAGTTAACTGAGCACGTAGGTGATACATCAGGTTTAAGGTGCTTTTCAGGTGAAAATGGAGGTTGAATAGTTTTATTTTGCTCTACAGAACAAAAATATGCTTGCCGATAACTTCCTGTTAAATGTGTAAATATATGTTTTTGCACTGTTCCCAACTTCAATTTTATCATTCATTAATAAGTTAATTTACTTGAAAATATTTTTTGAAGTAAAATAAAGGGGCCCTGACAGAAAAGTATTTGGAGTCACAGCTATAAGGACTGATATCTACTGGTGAGTGAAATGTAATAATAAAATCATCTCACTTCACAATCAAAGTAACACAAAGTCTCTTTCCAAGGTTATAGGTTTATAATGTTCTGTTCTTTGGTCATCCTGTTTATCTGTAGCGATAAAGCCTTATTACATGGCTGCCTTATTACAAGTAATGGCATGACTTGTGTTGGTCAGAAACAGGCTTCCGACAACTGCGTTTATCTGCCCCCCTCCATGTACCTCTCTATAGGGTGTCAGGATGTAGTTCCACAGACTAACACTTGCAATGTACCTCTTCTTTGGCGATGCGCATTTGGTCTTTGACCCCAGAGAAGATGGTAGGCTGAATGAAGAGCCTGTTCTCCCCCACAGCTGCCCCTCCATACTCCAGGCGGGCTCCTTCTTCCTTCCCACTCTCTATCAGATCCATAATCTTGTCAAAGTGCTGTTGGCTGATCTGGAGCCCCCATCACACGGTAGACAAGGGAAACAGAGCGTTTAATAACAAGGGAACCCTACATATTGAGGAATTCTTCAGTTGGCTGCTGTTAAATGATACATTGGGGTTAAAACTGGGTTCACGTGTCTACCAGCATAAAGCAAGGCAGGTTGTTTCTCACTCGATAACTCAATATCTGTACACACAGACAGGAGATTGATGATCCAGCCTTTGCTCTCTCTCTCTCTCTCTCTCTCTCTCTCTGAGAGAAAGATAAGTATACTTTACAGGTTGTTGTATACCTACGCAAAGCCTTCATTGAGTCAAGCAGGACCATTCATGGACCAGCGTAGAATGTAAGTATTCCATACAAAAAGAAACAAAAGAAAAAAAGAATGATGAGCAACTCTTTTAAACGTCTCTGGGAAACAAATCGAGCCATGTGGCTTCTTTTAAAGGGTTGTTGCTCCCATCACCAATGGGAAGGGATTTCGATATTAAAATATTCCTGTATCTATGAAATGACAATATCACAGTAATGACTCATACGAGAGCTTTCCTGCTTACAGATGCTACTTGTGCTACTTTTTGTTGTTATTAGTGTTATTCACTCTATGAAAGGTAAAATACTTGATGACTTTTAGAAGAAGGCCAACAATTAGATTTTAATTGGTGATGCAATGTGACAAAGAAAAAGACATATGTTACCCCAAACATGTTAAACGTAAAGACAGGCAGCTACAGCAGCTACTGTGATGTAGTGGATGAAAGGATAAGAGCCCAGGAGTAGAGATTACAAATATATTGGGTTATGTAGGTTTACTGTGTGAGTGTATGTATGTTTGTAAAAGTGGCAACCTGTGTATATCATATATGTAAAAGTAGTCAATGAGATCTGTGTCGGATGGAGTAGAACTATAGTAGAACTATTTTCAGCCTTTACTTTCTAACACAACACTATTGTTGAAGTGGTAATACATAAATATACACTATGCATCAACAACATTATCCTAATAACATCACAATAATAACAATATAATTGTGCCCCTTCCCCATCAATGATGAAAATAATCCTAATAATACAGGATTAAATGTTTTCAATACCTAACAATTATGTGATGCATGTGATGAAATTGGGTTGAAATTTTTCCTTATTTCTTATGATTCTGCCCACGGACTATGGGTGGAAAACAGCCATATCCTAAAACCTGGTTAATCTCCCCATGCTTAATAAAAGGTTAAAGCTCTCTGTGCATTGTACCTGTTCAAATAAAGACATATAAGAGGTTTAGTCTCTGACGTTGACTGTGTGTTCTTACCTGTGGCCCATGTGATGTCTGAGGGTCCATTGGGTCTCCTATGACAATCTTCTTTACGTTTTCTACACTGCGATGCACAAACTCCTCATAAATACTTTCTTCCACAAAGACACGTGATGCAGCTGTGCAGCACTGACCCTGGTTGTAGAAAGCTCCTTTCTGGGTCTCCTCCACAGCCAGCTGCACTGTAGACAAAAACCAGCACACACAAGAACAGCTCCAACACAACCTTCTATACTCGTGTATCATAAGTCATGGTCAGTGCAGATGCAACGTTCACCAGTTACATTTTCATGTAGCCACATTCCCTCGGCCTGCCTTTTTGCTGCTGGTTTTTCATTTAACACTCTTGTTTGAGAGGGCTTTTGACGGCTTTCAAAGGAAAGGGGCACTTGAGGGTGAAAGTGGAGAAGAAGGCATTGGGAAAGGATGGAGGATGAAAGTGATGGAGAAGGGGTTTGTAGGACTCTGCAGTGTCTTGGTGGCATCTCTGCCTGTTGACCTACAACCTCAAGTACACCATGCTGATCTTTGATCCCCCATGACATTAAAGAATGCCTGTGGGGATTTGCTGCAAGTAGTCACATATTGTAGATCTTGGCACAAACAGGATTGATTACAGATATCCTGTGACAGCACGATTTTTCAATACTACTTTGAACTGGCATATTATATTTCATTACCTAGACCCAGCCATTCAGGGCTTCAGCAGCCCCCTGAGCCACATAATCTGTTTTAATAGTGACAGTCAGTAAGGCCTTCCCCTTCTTCTTGGGGGATGACAGTTGCACAGGCCTCATATTTCCATATTTCTGAAAATCCTGGGTCTCCATGGTGTGGCGTAGGCATGTTTACTCACAGTCACAGTCAGCAAACACAATGCAGGGGTTCTTCCCCCCCAGCTCCAGAGTCACCCTCTTCAGATTACTTTTGGCTGATGCTTCTTTGATTAGCTGGCCAACCTGTACACATGAGGGTATACTCATGTGTCATGGGTAAAACGGAAAAAAGAATATACTCAGAAACAGAATAAAAGAGAGAAGAAGTGAGTATTAGTGCTGACCTTTCATGTTAATAAAATCAGTGAGGATGACTTCTCAAGATCAAAAAATATTTTAGCTGAATAATATTTTTTAGGAAATCAGTATTTTGAAGCTTTACTTAGTTTCATGCGAAAACATTTTATGTCGTAAAGTAGGAACAAATTACAGCTCTGTAATCTAACATTAAGGGAACATGAAGTTTTGATTGTGGTGTGCCTGCATTTGGGCTTTTCCACTGTTGAAACATTCCCACAGGTTCAAAAACCTTTGGAAGAACTCGGAAACGTTGCTGGTGTTTCAGGGACCTAGTTCAGTTCATGTACAACGCTGCCCATTGCCTCTCTCTCTCTCTCTCTCTCTCTCTCTCTCTCTCTCTCTCTCTCTCTCTAAGCGGAAGGAGTGCTGAGTGAACGGAGTGTGAGGTGAATTGTTTGACAGCGTCTTCTATCTGTTATTTTGTTTATTTTTGGTGTGGTTCTGGTGTGTGTTGTAGTGTGAATGCGTGGTGGTGTTTATATGTGACTTTTTTTTCTTTCTATGTGTTTGTTTGTGCGTGTTGTAGCCGGTCGGCATGTCGGACCTCACAGGGCTGACGCGGAAGCACGGCGTGAAGCTCGCGCCGGGCTTCGCGTGCTCCGTGGAGGACTGCGGTCTGGCCGTAGGGGGGTTGGTGGGGCACGGGAGTGTGACTGTGGGGACGGGTGAGGGGGTGAGTGTGGGATTGGGTGAGGGCCAGCCGGGCGACCAGGTGGATGAGGGGTCAGAGGGAATGAATGTCAGAGTGAATGGGGGGTTGAATGTGGCCCAGCGGGCAGGTGTGTGTGACAGAGTGAAGGAGGGGATGGGGTCACTCGTTAGTGGGGGAGCTGTTCGAGGTAGAACCGAGCAGAGGGGAGGTGGGAGGTGGGGAGTTTTATGTAAAATAAAGGTTTTCTAAAAATCAAAAATCTCTCTCTCTCTCTCTCTCTCTCTCTCTCTCTCTCTCTCTCTCATCTCTCTCTCTTTCCCTCCCTCCCTCCCTCCGGCTCTAGACTGCAGGCAATCACTGCCTCTCCATCTCTGCCATCAATACCTGCTTCTCTGAACCGTGGGTGTGTGTGTGTCTATGTGTGTGTGAGTGTATGCAGCCAGTGACGTCACAAAAGGCCCAGAATCAATGTGGTCAAACACTCACACACCTCTGTGGAGCCAGTGAAGGCCACTTTGTCAACGTCCATGTGGCTGGCGATGGCTGCTCCTGCTGTGGGACCAAACCCAGGAAGAATGTTCACAACTCCAGGAGGGAAGCCCGCCTGAAATGGTTCCCCAGAGAGCATATTAAGGTTGGGGGTCAACAACCAATCACCCCCTATCTGATCTGAGATCAAGGACATTGATCTCAGATCATTACATTACATCACATTCATTACATTCTTGACGTTTTATATTACATTCTTGACGTTTTAAATGGTATAACAAATTGGTATTTCAAATGACAGTATTCTACTTAACAACAAAAGAACAGGCTTCTATCATTCTTTCATAGCATAGAATCTGGTCTTTTTAAGAATTTAAATAAAACTCATTTAAAACAGTTGCTCTACAAACTCCAGACACAAACGCATTGAACATTGTCTGTCATAGACTTCAAGCCTGAACAGGGACTTGAACCCTGGACCCTCAGATTAAAAGTCTGATGCTATACCGACTGAGCTATCCAGGCTTTAAAAGCTCTGTTGATTATTACAAATGTGACTATGGCATAGGAACAAACTAAATGTGTTCGTCCAATTCCAAAAAGGCTCAGAGGAATGAGCAGAAAAGGTACAGCTTTTTTTGGAACCACCTCAGGATTAGCAAGAATAAGGAACCTAACCAGAAAGTCACTGCACTACAAGACATCATGCCTGAACAGGGAATTGAACCCTGGACCCTTAGATTAAAAGTCTGAGGTTCTACCAACTGAGGTTTGACCTTGATTGAAAGGTAATCTTGTAAAACAATACTTGTTAAAGGAATATATGAGACAACTTAGGAGAAACCCAATTCCAAAAAGGCTCAGAGGAACAAGCAGAAAAGGTGCCAGATTGTTTTGGAACCGGCTCAGGATTAGTGGGGATCATTTTGTAGGTTCCTAAACCGTTGTTGTCAAGTGGAAGACAAGGACATTGGGGAGTTCGAACCAGTCGTAGTGGTGGTGTTCTAAACACAGGAGACTAATCACGGACCTAAAGAACCCAACATCAGACCTCTTTGATGAGCGCTCCAACGTGGAGGGCAGTGAGGGGGGTCTGCTCTGCTGGCTTGATGACCACAGTGTTTCCACAGCTCAGGGCCGGTGCCATCTTCCACATGAACATCAGCAGAGGAAAGTTCCACTTGCAGAGACAAAAGAACAAATGTTAGCCGACTGCCGTCCACGTGTCCCAGCACCAGTTAAAGCTCACTGTCACAGGACTTTTGCTCCCTGTACAAGGCTGATGCTATAGTTGTTTCCCAAGACATAGTTTATTCCATTATATATTGGTTTTCACTATCATACAGGTATTACACAGGTTCATCTGCTACCAGGAGAAAACATTAGTTAAAATGAGTCAAACTATCATCTAATGAGTGTCATTCATTTTGAGCTTCTCCATTCCGGGACAGGAGTGCGTTTGACTTGATTAAGGGCTCCTCAGTGGTCCTCCTCAGTGGTGGAGCAATGACAGGAGGGCTTTTTCACAAGCCTTCTTCTCTGACCTTTAGTCGACCACTGCCCTTTATTTGAACATGCAATAGCTGGGTTGTCGCAGCGATCTCCCGTTCCCGCTGGGCCGCCGCAGCGATCTCCCGATCTGGTTCCCCACCTCGCTCCCGCGATTCACCCAGTCCCGGCCCCCAGACTCGTTCTCCCGATTCGGCCAGTCCCGGCCCAACGACTCGATCTCCCGATTCGGCCAGTACCGGACCCACGACTCGATCTCCCGATTCGGCCAGTCAGGGCCCCACGACTCGTGACCCCGACTTGGCCAGTTCCGGCCCCGAGACTTGTGACCCCGACTCCTCCAGTCCCCGTTTTCAGGCTCCCTCCCTCCCATCCCGTGGTCCTCTCCCACCCTCCCGTTGGTGATGTGAGGCCCGTCTGGAATCCGGCCCTTGATGGGGGGGGGGGGGGGGTATGGCGGGAGCTGAGCCGGCGACTCCGGCTTCCTGCGTCCTCCAGGCGGCGACTCCAGAAGTTCCCAAAACCATGCAGATGTCGCCGACTCCGGAGATTTCCTGTGCCGCGCAGCCTGCGACTCCGGAGGTGTTCCGTGTCCCCCAGCCGTCGACTCCGGAGACGTTCAGTGCCCTGCAGTCGGCGCTCCGGAGCCGGCCAACCCCCGGAGGCTCCCTGGCCTTTTGCCTGTCCGCCGGGCCAAACCCCAGAGGCTCCCCGGCTGTTTGACCGCCCGCCACCGTCTAGTTTCCCTCCCTCCCGCCCTTGTCTGGTTAGGGCCATCTGGAATTTGGCCCTTGAGGGGGGGGTTCTGTCACGGTTTGGGTTAATTTCCTGTTTTATTTTGTAGTTTCTTGCCTCTTGTCTCCCTGGGTAACTTCACTTGCCTGCCTTGTCCTGTCATTCTCTGTGATTGTCTGATTGTTTCCACCTGTGTCCAATCACCTGCACCTCCCTAGTGTATTTAAGCCATGTGTGTCACTTGTCGCGTCATTGTTAGCTGTTACTCGTCAGAAGCCCATGTCCTTGTCCATGTTCCTGTCTCCTGTGCCCTTAGCGGGCACTCTATGATCATTTAAACTAAACTCGTCCACAAAAGAGGTCCATTATTTCCCAGGTGCTCATCTCTGATCCTTGAGCACAAACGCAAATTAGATACCCTAACATGAGAGCTGCATGTTTATTGTTCAGGCACTGTTAACTTTTACAACACTTGGAAACATTCAGAGCCATTAGGGATATTGGGATCACAAGTGAGCAGAAAGGCTCCCTGTTTTCCTCTGAAAATGACTCAAGCTGCGTGTGTGCCAGCACTACTTTCAGTAATTACCCAACGTCCTTCAGTATAAATTTCACTTTTATAATATAATCTCTCATGTCAAACAACAGACGTTTTGTTCCTTATGGCCAGAACAACATTTATGGACTATTCAGAGATACAGCTTGTAGAAGCCATTCCACTACATTTGTATCGTGCACAATGAAACTGCCTTTTCTGTTGATTTGATTGATTTGTGATGATGTAATGATGACGTCAGGGGGCGTCGGCTATTTAAATGTCACCTGAGTAAGGCCAGGTGTGTTTTTCTATTTCGAGAGCGGAAGGAGATATTATTTTTGACCGCATTACGCATTACGCATTAGGCATTGAATTCTCATTTATTTTGATTGTGATTTAGGTTGTTTTTGCCGAACAATAAATAAAGAATTTTGAAGTGACAATACGAGCAAATGCGCGTTGATTTTACCGACCGCTCCTACAACAAGTCAAAAATAACTCATCCGAACGCGAGGAAGGAACGCCAGGCCAGGTGGAAGTGAGCGAAGCTGTCCCGGAGTCACGTCGTCTTGGATTGATCTGGACTGCGGCCAGAATCCGATCTCACCGGTACCGTGAGTAAACGAGCGTATGCGCTGTTTTCCGAACCTGGTTACGATCAAACATTAAAACCGACAGAAGGAACCAAAGGAAACGTTCGATAACAACAAATAAATCCATAAAATGCCTATAAATTACGAGATCACTTAAAGACACCGCGGATCAAACAAGGCACGGCCGCGCGCACGAAAAGGTAAAATTAAATAAAGACGTAACTGAAACACTAATGAATATTGACAGCTGACGCTGAAAACTGAAATAATGGCAGAAGGAACTGAACGGGGAGTCACGGGAGCCGGTATGAGTGAGACGGATACGGCGCAACAAAATAAAGCGTTTAAATCATTGAGCGCCACACGTAGAGGAAAACTTTCCCACTGTACTCGGAAAATGAATGAAATAAAGTTAATGATGAAAGAAGGTGCCGATGTTCATAATGTTAATGAAAGTGCAAATGAATTTATGAGACTGCTGGAGGAATTTAAATTATGTCATGAATCTGTTCAGATTCTGCTGCCTGAGGAAGCGAGAAGGAATGAAAGTTTGGACTGGTATGAGCCAAAAATCGCAGATTATGACGTTTTTCTGACCGATGTGGATCAATGGAAAAGTGCTCAGGCCGATCCACATACTCTGGTGGATGTTGGGGACAGTGTCTCACAGACTGGCTCACGACGCTCCAGAGGTTCCAATTCTTCATCTATGGTTTCAGCACGCATGAAGATAGCTGCAGACAAAGCTGCTCTGCAGGCCAGAGCTAAAGCTCTGAAAAGGAAACACGAACTGGAAAAGGAAAAGCTTGAGCTGGGGTTAAAAATGGAATCCCTGGATCTGGAAGCAGATATTGCTGCAGCTGATGCAAGGTTAAAGGCTCTAGAAGAATTCGAAAGTGATGAAGCATCAGAATCCGGAAAAGAAATGGAAGAACAGATAGAGGCATCTGACAAAAGAGGAGATCTAACACAAATGGAGTCTGCACGGATAGGAACCATACCGAAAAGATCCTTACAAGTAATAATGCATACTCTGAATCCAACATTGACTGGAATCTCAAAAGGACCTGAGCAACCACCAAGGGCGACAGCAAACCCTCACACACACAGAGCTGTGGTTTCTGACGGACCACGCGGAAGAGGCGAAGCCACACCCAGAAGTGAAACACCTCAGAGCGTAGATCTCACAAACATTCTACAAAGACAGACAGACTTGACAGACTTGCTAGTGATACAACAGAAAGAGTCTAAACTCCCCCAAAGAGAGGTGCCGATGTTTGACGGCAATCCTCTCACTTTCAGATCATTTATGAAGGCTTTTAAGCACAACATCGAGGATAAAACCAACAGTAATGAGGATCGACTATACTTTCTGGAACAGTATACTGTTGGACAGCCAAAGGAGCTAGTCCAAAGCTGCTTTCTCATGAACGCCACAACTGGCTATGAGGAAGCAAAGCGCCTGCTTAAATATCACTTTGGTGATGATTTCAAAGTAATTTCTGCATATATCGAAAAGGCCTTAAACTGGAACCAAATCCGTACAGATGATGGAGAGGCACTTCATAGCTACGCCCTCTATCTAAAAGGCTGTGGTAATGCAGTTCAGGACCTCTCATACATGTCAGAGTTGGACTCACCATCTAACATGAAAAGACTTGTTTTCAAACTCCCATTTAAACTCCGAGAGACATGGCGGTCTACTGTGTGTGACATTACGGAAAGGACACACCAGAGACCTAAATTTAAGGACCTTGTCCTCTTCCTGGAAAGGCAGGTCAGAATCATCCAAGATCCCATCTTCGGGGATATCCAAGACCCTGCCAGAAGCACAAACAGCAGAACATTCAAAAGAGACCAACAGTATACAAGACCTAGCAGCAAGAAAAGCTTTGCTACAACTGTCATGCCCAAGACCGATACCCACATGAACACTAATGCACAGGAGAGGCCGGAGAGGCCAGAGGGCATCCGTAAACCCATGGACGCCTTCATCAAACCTTGTGCTTTCTGTAACGGAGATCATGTGATGGAAACATGTGAAATGATAACAAAGATTCCCCACAAAGAGAAAGTTGAGCTACTAAAGAAAAACGGACTCTGCTTTGCCTGCTTGGTCAAAGGTCATATGAGTAAAGAATGCAAGAAACGTCTCACATGTCGTTCCTGTGAGAAAAAACACCCCACTGTCTTACATATAGATAACTTTACTCCAGGAAACAATAGGCTGGTAGCTAAGTGGGATTCAGACACCAGGAGCAATTGTATGGCTAAGGTTTCTTCTGCAGCACAAATTGCTATGGTGTCATCAGCAGCACAAAAGTGGGGCAGAACAACAGATCATAGATTAGCAGTGGTACCTGTAAAAATAAAGGCACACAAAGGCAGCTGTTTGATAGAGACGTATGCATTCCTAGATCCCGGAAGCACTGCTACCTTTGTCACAGAAAAACTGATGGAACAGTTGTCTGTCAGAGGAAAGAAAACCGAAATCTTACTCCGAACGATGGGTCATGAAAAGCCTGTGAAAACCCACGTGATAAGAGGACTGGAAGTATGCAGCCTGGAAGGCAACAGCTTCATAGAGCTTCCTGAAGTCTTCACACAACATGCCATTCCTGTCAATCAAGAAAACATCCCTACAGAAACGGACATAAAAGGAATTCCTTACTTAAATGAGGTCCACATAAAACCCATCAAAGCAGAAGTAGGCCTATTGATTGGTACAAATGTCCCACAGGCTATGGAACCACTGAGAGTGATCAATAGCCAAGGCAAGGGGCCCTATGCAGTCCTTACATACCT